TCGGGGAAATTATTTAATATGATGGTGATGTCAGATTTATGATGATCTATGGCCATATAAACAGATCGTAAAGTCGCGACGAAAGCCATCGGAATGTTTGAGTTCCTAATGGATTAATTTGTTAGAGGAATTTACACTTTGGACATATAAATCCAAAGGAATTCTTTAAATTAAAGAAAGCTGAATAAACCTAACGTATAACTTCACGGTTATTTGAGCCATGACAGCTGCTCGCGCGACTGTCTAATCGAAATTCGAACAGCTGTTGGACTTACTCTGTTTTTCCTATTAGACTGACACGCCCATATGTAAGTGGGTGGGTTGGAAGGGAGTGTGAATGCTTAAAAACTGGAAATGGTAGCGCCCTGGTCTAAAAATATCGAAAAACTTCAAAGCGGCAGGGAATGCAATCGAGGAAACAACAAAAAGAACAAAAAGAGACCGATACGGAATGAAAATGAAGCACGAAAGGATTTACGAGCTTGATCGAAAACAGGAACATCCACAAAAACTATATATATCTGGCTGGTACAAAATACCGCGACAGAAAGAGAGGCCGCACATGCAAAATAACCTCACGAAGAGTTGTGCACTTTGTTAGTGCTCCAGTGAAAGTCAGGGGCTCGGTCAAAGGTCAGGCGATGGGGAGCGATAAGATATAAATAGTAAAAACTTTATCAATAAAATAGATATGCTTTACACCAAATATATTAACAAGCAGATCAGTATAGAAAATCGAATTAAAGGATTATCACGTCAGCTTAACATGTTCTTAAAGTTCTAGATAATCTCATCCAACCAAATATAAATAAACAAATAATAAATAAATAGTTTTTGCTTCAAATACTTTGTACGAACCCCTTGCACATTATCTCAACTACGCCCCTTGATCAGTGACTCCTCCAACTTTCAATCTCTGTCAGCGCCAAAGGAAATTGTATAAAAACGACAATAGCAACTGAAAGCATGGAAATGGAAGATACACATTTCGTTTCGGGGCTAATAATAGAAATGCAGCCGCGAAAGAGAAAAGACTTGTGGTACAAAGTGGTAATGGAGACAACGCCTCCGATATGTGGAGCCCCGCCCCCGTCGACTCCCGCGATTTCCCTTTTGCTGAGTGCTTTATTATTATGACAATTATGTTTAAGCACACAACATCATTGAGGAAATATTTATGCGACTTGTACATTATTCTGTGTTTGTTTCTTTTCTGTTTGTGGGGGGTGGTTAGGTGGTATGCAAAGCCAAAAAGCAAACAATTTCCCTCATTGCTGCGTCACCTGTTTGCCACCTGATCCGTCCCCTTTTGCCGCCCCTTTTTCACCCATTAGCCTTGTGAAAAGTTCATTTGCCCCAACTCATAATTTGCCGCTTGCATGTCAAGCAAACTGAGACCAAACGCCACACTCGGATTTCCCTGCTTGTGCGAAGGAAAAAGAGTAGAGTATTCTACACTGAGATTTGTACTATTAAATATAGCCATAAAAATTGAAATTCCTGCGAAGCCACATTTAAACCACACTTGGAGTTATTTCAAAAAATCTGTATAAAAATATGATTGCTGTCGAAAATCTAAAATATGTTGTTATGTGTGTCATAAGTTTCCCTTTTTTTAAGTGTATACATCAATAGCTATATAAAAATGGCCTTAAATATGTAAAGGTCCCGAATTTAAACTGAAATTCCACAACTTTTGATGATGTTGCAAATATGTATGTTTTTGTTTTATTTTCTTGTTTAAAATAACAAAAATTTTTTTATAAATTTGCCAGACATTTTTTATGAGTGGAGAGACAAACGAACTTCATGTACTTTTTTTGCCTGGGGAAAAGGAGCTGGGGCTTCTCTCCCACTTGAGTCTATTTTTGTGTGAGTTGTTTGCGGAGTGGTGCGGTTGTTCAGGAGTGCAGCAGTTGCATTTGCAACTGCGATATTGGCAACTCCATTGAGGCATCCGCATCTGCACCGGTTCTATGGTATTTTCCCAGGGCGACACACAATCCAATCCCTTCGCCAATGCAACTGCCACCCATGGTATCTAATTACATCGTATCGTGTAACAACCTAAAACAAGCTTATGAAATCGCAACAACCAGCACATCGAACGCCTACGACTTCTAAACATTGGTACTACGTCGTAGTTGGTTAGCTAGCTTCAAATCTGTAAGGTATTATCTGCTCTTGTTTTATATACATACATTCATAAGTAATTATATTATCCATTTTATAAAAAAACACCAAAGGACATGTAAATAATAACTGGGAATTTGTGACCCGCCATATAATGCCAACTAAGCCTATTTATTTATTAACTTTTTACATAACTTTCCTCACTTTTTTCTTCAATGAAGGCCTTTTGAAAACAACATTTATTTAACGTCTTCAAAATGTTCAAAATGTACCACTGTTCCTTGTTACGTGTGTGCTTGTGTTTTGACTGTGATTGAGCTGGAGTTCCGTAGCGCGACTTTCCCCCAGTTTCCCCACAAAACCCTCCTCCTAAACCGATGTACATTCGGACTGACAATTGCGGTGAGTTGGGCTTTCCGTTTCTGTTTTTGGGATTTGTGCTGGCTTGTAATCTGCAGACCCAGACACAGTTTTTACATTGTAATTTTGTAATTGCATTTCGCAGGCCAGACACACGAAAAAGGCAATTTCAGGCCCCCCATTTCGACCTTTTCGGATGAGCCACACTGATAGTTTTGGCAAATAAATGTACGTTTTTATTGGCGAGTTTCTGTGTGGGAATTTCCCTCGTGCGAAACTGGAAAATGTCGTTTTTATTTTCCTACTGCGCTTGTTGAATTACTGACGAGCAGAGCATACATACATTTTGTATGGAGCGATGACTCAATACTAGCATCAATAAATATTAATATGGAAACCGGCTTATCAGTGGCTCAGCTCAGAGATTGAGTGAACTTAAGTGCTCACAATAAGCGACTAATTACAATATAAATAGCATTAATTGATTACAAATTGCTTGGTGAGACGGAAGGCTCTGCTAGAGCGAGATAAGAAACGACTTCCAGATGAGAGGCCAAGAAAAATGTGGAAAATCCAAAGATTGTAGTAAATCATCTGGGAAATGTGGCTTAGTTCGTGGTCCCAACGGAAAATCGATACTTTGGTCTCTGAAGCTGCCACTCGCGTGGGAGAAACAATTGTGTGCAGAGAAGCAAGAAATGGCTTTTATATCTTTATTTTAAAAGATTTCAGCAAGCTTGTAAAAAGTTTTTTATTCTAAGAATGTGTAAAAAACCCTGCCAGTCCTTTAAATATAAAAAACACTTTTAAGGTTGCCATGATAACAAGTGGTAAAATCCTTGTGCTTTCGAAACCCATTAAAAATGCAAAAAAATAATCCTATCTTCATTTAAAAGCATTTTTGAATGTTTATTCGATGGATAAAAAATACCAAGAAATGTCTGGATAATTGTCTTTTTATGTAATCAGTAAATGACCTTTCCCTTTTGACAATTCCTAAACTATTAATAGCCGACAAATGTTTTTCTAGCACCCTTCTGCAAAATCCCGAATGCCACTCAACGGTGGGTCCTATTGTGGTAGGACATCGTCGACAGGGACATAAAAAAGCTATTAGAAACGGGAAAAGTCCATAAATAAAGGGAGTACAGAAAATTGCGGAAACGGAGAACATTGCAGTTTGCCAAGCGCATAATAGGAAAATATTTGACAAGAAAATAAGGCAAATAAAAATGTGCGTGAGTGCGTGGAAAATGCGGGGGAGGAAAGGCGAGAAAGGTGGAGGAAATGCCAATATGTCAGCGGGGTTGGGATAACGGTGTTTTGGGTCGCAATTTCAACCACTGTGCGGGTGGCAAGGGATAAGGGTGCAAGGATGAAGGATGAAGGACAACGGATGAAGGATAAAGGATGAATGGAGAGCAAAAATAAGAATTGAAACCGCCCCAAATAGCACAAACCTAACATCAACGTGTTCTGCTCTCTCTTTTCTCCTTTTTCGTCGCCCTCTTTCTCTCCAGTAAACAAAAGCAGCGGAAAAGCAACAACAAGTAAGAAACTAGCCGGCAATAACAACAATAATTTCCAATATAATCGGAAGCAATGGGAAAAAGAAATTGGCTCAATTGGAAAGCAGCGTGAATAGAGCAAAATAGGGGATAATAAAGAAAGAGGGGGGAAGAGGAAGCGACGAAACTGCACTTTATGAACAATAAAAACAACACTGGGCGCATACACAGGCAAATAAATCAAAATTTGCATGATATTTACACCAGAGATTTAACGTCACGACCATGGGGTGTGCTAAAGTTATGATTAATTTTGCACGCATACAACAATAACCCTTTACTATTGCAAGAACTTCCTTTTTTTTTGCAAAATCCTTTTTTACAATTTTATGATTATAATTGTACTTTTTGAGTAAATATATAATTACATTGTTTATACTTTTAAATTGATATTTTTAGAATTTCACCACAAATCGAAAACCCTTGATTACAATCTCTCCATGTTTGAAAGAACAACATTGTTTTTTATCCAAATAGCAAGGCACGACAATATTATGGTGAATATTATGAAAAATTACAACGCCATGATGAAATTTACACCTGAGTTGGATGCTGCATGCACTTTTTAAAAGTTGTGTGTGGGTGAAATTGGATGTGTTGCATAAAGTTTACACTTCCGTTTGCTGTCTTGTGACACTGCACAGTTTACACAAAAACAAAATATGAAGGTATTTTTAAAACTGATATGTTTTTTGAGGTTGAATAAAAGGGTTTAGTTCTGAGTTTTACATATGTAACTGTTCTTACTTGAAATGAAAAGCACCGAATATCACACATTTAATACCATAAAAATTATAAAAATCAAAACGCCCAATATAGACTAAGATATAGTGCAATTTAAAGGGAAGTTCTTTTTTTAATAAAAATTAAGAGTAATCTTAATTCTTTCTGTGTACGCAAGATGCATTCAAATGTCCGTTTCCCAACACTTGCACTCACCGTTGTGTTCAGTGAATATGTTGAGTCCCACGGTGGGATTGCACCGTGATTCCTTGTGGCCGCCACTGCGTTGGCTTAGTCCGGACCCTGATCCCCCTCCCGATCCGACGCCACTGGTGACGCCGGATGACGAGGATTTGATGCGGGATCCGCGAAGCGTTGATCCCCCACCGAGGGGGGCACTACTGACTCCACTGGAGCTGGAGATGCAGTGGGGAGAGACGGAAGCTACTGGACTGCTTGAGAGACCGATGCAGCTGACGGGGGCGACTGAGCCGACTCCTCCCGAGTGGGCGCCCCTGTCCTTGCCCTGCTGAGCCCCCATTTGCCAGTGGGTGGTTGGGTGGATTTTCGCTCTTGCGCAGCAACAACAACTTGTACACTTTTCTCTCGCCTCCTCCTCTCTCTCTCTCTCTTTCTGCCCTTCGTCGGCTCCTCCTCCTTCGGCTTTTTCGCTTACTATTACTATTTATTTTTTTCTTCAACTCTTTTTTTTTGGCTTTTTGCTCAATTATTTGCCGTTTTGCCTTTTGCTTTGCTTTAATTTATTTCACACACACACGCACACATTTTTCTTTCTCTTTCTGCGTTTTTGGAGTAGACAAAAAAGATTGGAGACACTCACGCACACACACAAATACAAACGAACGCAGAAAAGGAAGTTTGCGATTTTTCTTATTTGTTATTTTGTTTGGCCGCTCAGGTGAATTTGCGAATTTGCAGCATGTTTGGCAAACTTTTCGTCGTCGCCGACGATTTGGAGGCTAGAGGTTGGCCGAGGGGGGTCTGCGGAAGGGGCCCACAAACACGCCCTGAAAATGCACTTTGTCTTTCTTGCCTCCGCCTCTGGCTCTCTCTCTATCCCTTTCGATCGCTCCTTCTTCTATTTTTCACGGCTTTAACAATTTGCAGGCGAATGCGTTTGGCATATTTATCGGTTTTCGCGAGGATATAGTAGTATCTGATCTGCTGGCCCTGCTTTATCTATATCTGTGCATTTTTTCCACGCACGGCGACGGATCGAATTGGAATCCAACTTGCACTCGTGTGACCGCTTCTCGGTCGTTTAAACATACCGTACTGTAGATAAATAGTCGATAAAACTATCGGTTTTAATAAAGTGTCTTAGACACAGTTGGCAGCGCTGATGGGGAAGAAAACTTTACTGAGGTCAGCGAGTGGCAGAGCTGTTTGGTGTGTGAAACGGATAAGTTCGGAAGAACTTTACTAATTCAACCAGTGCTGTAAAATGTGAAAATATTATTTTGAAAATTCAAAATTCAGTACTTTCTATGGGGATCAATGACACAATTAAAGAGTGAAATTGTTAGGAGCTTCAAATAAATATAAATATAAAATTTAAAGTAATCCATTATCCCAACAAATTAATACAAGTACAACGATTTCATCCTTTTCCGTTTGTTACGTTTTATTTATCCGTTGGTTTTCGTTTTGCATTCTCAATCTTTAGTTTTGTGTTCGCTTAGTTTTTATTTAGTATGTATACCCGACAAAAATTTCAAGTTTGTTCGTTTCAATTTCTCTCTCCTGCTAGAGTTCAGTATCGAAAGATCCTTCTCTCCATTCACACGATCCCCTTTTTCAGCTTCCCCACCATTTTCATTTTTCAATTATCAGTTACAGTTTCCTCGTTTACACTAAATTAACTTTTCAAGTAGGACTCTTGCTTTTCAAGTTCTTGGTTTTTACTCTTTCCCTTTTCGGTTCGCTTACAAATATAAATATAATTTTAACTTTCCTCTGGTTACTTTGTTTTTATGTTACGTTCAAGGACTTTCTTTAGTATTTCTAAGTTACAAAAAAGCAGCAAAGTAAATGAAGTAATATTAAGGTGCATTCAACACAGGCTAAAAAATAAATGCCTTCCCCTAACAAAATCCAACCTTATTAGCATTATGACACTTACTTAAAACTGTACTGACTGATTGGCTTCATTTTGCGAAACTTATTTGTTCTGTGACTATGAAAATGTGGCAATTGGCGAGTGAAGGATATGACTCGACAAATTTCGATCCAGTCAGTCAGCAGAATTTTCATCAATCGAGATTAGACTATTACAGATATTGGTAATTTATACAGATTTCAAAACACTTTATTACTTTACAATAACAATTTGCGCTCTGGATCTTGGAACAATAGACTAACTTATAGTGTTTTGTTATTGGTTGGTAATGGTTTCCTTTGTTTTCACTTGTTTAATATTCCGTTAATATAGGTTTTATAAATATACATATATGCGTATAGACTTAGAAGTACAAAGTTCTCAGACCCCAACTACACAAATTTGCGTTGAAAAACACTTTTCCAGTAACTCTAGTTGAATTATAAACCAAAAATGCCCGCTCTTTATGTATCGCTTACAGAGTGATATTCAAAAATATGGGCAGGAGTCTGAACCTTCTTGAGAATTTTAACTAAAATTGGGAGGCAACACAAAATCCCACCTGAGAAGGCAAATAACCGTTGACAACGCAAATATCGAAATGGAAACGAAGGCTAACTGAAAAACAAACGTTAATTTAGTGGCTGTCAATAATTCTGCAAACTATATAATCTATACATTCACGACTTTGGGCTAGACAACACACGTTTAAAGTTACTGCAAAGAACTGTAGCTGTTAAAATACATATAGAGTTTTCGGAGTGACTAATAGTTTAACCAACTAGTAAAGCAGCTAAGTCCCTTTTCTGCAACATTATTTCCCTTTGGCTGGGTGGTCATGGACAATTCTAGACATTTAAATTCATGCCAGCACACTCTAATCTTTAAGCCTTACGCATTACGTATTACGTATTACGTATTACGTGTACGCATAATGCACCCAGTTACGTACAGTTTAATGACTGAATTTTGGTTCGTCTGTTTCTTATATACATGTTCAGAAATATATAGTAGTTCGTATGTATGCCTGTCCACCCGGTACAACTTTTCGCTTACAAATTAAACTCTCTACCGAACGATCGATCGTGTGTGTGCCACCCAGGTTTAAAATTAAAAAACAACTTGTACACCGCTACATAAATAAATGTCCTTAGCCGTTAACAGGGGGGAGTGGTGGTGTTTGGTAATGGTGTTTTTGGAGTGGGATTGGGCGTGGGCGTAGGGCGTGGCTCGCTGCTCTTCTCCTTACTGCGCCTTGGCCTTGCGCAGATAGGCGGCCTGATCCTCGCCAGCGCCGATGAACTTGGAGCTCTCGCTGGTCTGCGGCGGGCTGCTCGACTGCTTGACCGCATTCTGGGCGGCCAGGGAGGCGGCCATGCGACGGCTCTTGTGGCCACCGGGCGCCAGGTACGCCTTGTAGAAGAAGCGCGCGAACAGGACAAAATAGCTGAAGTACATGGCGATCGACAGGTTGATGTTGCGCTGCGAGATGTTGCAGGACGAGGTGCCGTGCGTCTTCAGGAAGCCGTTGGCCCACACGTTGATCGCACAGCCAATGATCATCTGCGCCAGCTGCAGTGATGTGATGATCATCGAGATGAACCTGGGCGGATTGAAGCGGGCCGCCTTAAGCGCATAGTAGCTGTACATCACCGAGTGAACGCAGTAGTTCATCACGATGAACCAGCGGGCCGAGCTGGTGTACTCCGTGTAGCTGAACCACGAGTAGATCAGCACGGTGATGTGATGGTACCTGCAAAGGAAAACATTGAAATGAATATACATTGTACTATCAGTTCCCTGGAAACCCATTAAAAATAATGGGGGTTGAAGATTATCAAATCAAATTGAATGAATTAAATTCCGTGTATTGTTTTGAGGAAATTAAAGCCCATAGAAACTGTATATACAATATGTTGTATTATGACATATTCCTAATGCCACTGAATTGATAAAGTTTTTAAAATGCTTTATTTCAACTAGTAATAAGCAATTAAGTTAATTAAGTTTTTGTATGAGTCTGAAATTTGACTTTTAGTATGAATTTATTTAAAAGGGACTTGTGAGACCCCCTAAACTATTTTATCAATTTTATAAACAAAATAAAGACGGAAAAACTTTTACTATATTGAATCATCAATAGCAGTTTAGGTCTCTCGTTTTAAAGTTAAAGAAATGATTAAATTAAATACCACAGAGTTTAATTTTTATCAAGAATTATGTTGCTGAAATTCCTATTGAAAGCAAAATTCCATTTTGAGGCTTACCAGTGCAGGAAGATAAGAGGCTGCTTGCGGAGCACGATGAATATCGTGTCGCCCAGTTCTGGCAACTTGCTGAGCACGAAGAGCCAGGTCCAGAAGCCGCACACGCGATCTTGCTCGATGTAGCTGTGGGAGAGGAATATGTGTTGAATATCGGTCAGTGAACGCACATTTGCATAGGAATCGAGTTTTCAGCCCCCATATCAAGGTCAAGCGTGCAGGCGCCGCTGAACTTGATATTAAAAAGGCTGAAAGGCTGGAAGGCAAATACCAACCTGGGCACGCAGACGGAGTGGAAAAGTCCGTAGTGACGCAGCACGTGAATCAGCTCCGGCGCCGTTCGAGCGGCTCCCATGATGCTGAACATGGCCAGCAGGGTGTTCCATATGATCAGCGGGCCGCGCAGTACAAATCTGCAATAAATAGTGAAAGGAAACTTTAGCAATACAGGAAAAATACATAGGAAACGTACTAAAAATGTGTAATTAAAAGTTGGGGTTTATTCCTCGTAAACCCGACTTGGGGTACGACTTGCAACTAATTAATTCTGAGATGTATCGTGAAACTTTTCGATAGCTACGTTCATTGAATTTAAAATAATCTGGTAAATTCCTCAAAGCAACAGAGTTTCTTAGACTGCGACAAAGTTGGTTATCATAAATTTAATATATAATTTAATCTACTCACTCCCACACTTGCCAAATGCAAATTCCAGACGATTTCGCACAGCGAACACTTGAAATCATTCATATTTACTCGAGGCTAATAGTCGTGAAATCACAGCGGAAAAAAAACAACTGCAAAGATCAACAAACTCTAACAATTTTCAATTTTCCATGCCTCCGTCCTAGACGAGCGTGACAGTCAAAGATCAAGTACTATTTGCTATGAGCACTTAATATGTGCGAATTTTTGAGTAATGCAATGACATCAACGCACAACTTGAGGATGTCACAGGGCCAGTAGTCGCAGTCACAGGTATTAGAATTGAAAATTTATTCATTAGATCCCTTTAATCTCTCCCCAAACTTTGTTGTCAGGCCACTTTGAATAACAAGCTAGCTGGACTCGATCGTTCGATGCAAGGGAATTAGAATAAGCATTACTCAATGTCATGGCATCGACTACTATAGATTACACTTGATTAGTTCGTCTAAGGTTAACTGAAAACAAAAAATTATCAGGTGATTGACTAACATTAATTAAGGATGGACTTAGTCTCGAAAAAGACTATGGAAATGAGAACTTCTTTCATAGTCAGACACTCATTAATTCACTCCTTTGTTTTCGGTTCTCATCAGAACAGAAAAAAAGTTGCCCAGACAAAAATACTGGTTTGGGGTTTAACAAACCCAATACCTCGTTCCACAAAATTTTTTAAGCCAAATTAAATTGACGTAATAAACCAATAAAAATAAGTTAGTACTGAATTATAAACTAATTTCAGTCGAATCACTCAACGAGTTGCTCTAATTAGGAATTGATTTGAATGTGGATTTCTTAATCTTTATTAGTAAAGGCAAACAAAGTTGCGCAATTATTGGTCTGCGAATCAACCAGCCAACCTTATCGATGGCCTGTTCGCTATACTATATACTCCATGCCTGAAGTGAAACCTCTCCACGCGACAATTAGTCATAAAAAAAAACCAATCAAACCAAAAAAAAGTGTGATTTCTGTTATCAGCATGTGTTTTTGTTGGCCGGGCCAAATAATTGATTGCCTTAACCTTTGGCCTGGGAAACAGATTTAAACAGTTGTGAACAAACAAAAATAACTTTGCAAATATTCCAGCAAAACGTTGTCAAGTTGCGCGAAAACAAAGTGAATAAGGAAAGTGTTTGTTTTCGGCACATGTTAGCTAAGAGCCTCGAATGCGTCAATGGATTTATAAAAACTTGGGAATCGATAGTCACTTGTTTTCCCCCAAACAAAGCCATAAAGATTGTGTATTTCAGGCCAGTCCATGGAGACTGTTATCGGGGGCAATCAGAATGCTCAATTGTGCCATCAACCCCCCAAAAAGCTCACTTTAAATTCCGGCAGAGATTTACATAGATAAGTCCCACTGTATTAGACAATTAAGCTCTGTTTTGAGGAGAAAAAAAACACGGGGGAAGGGGGAAACCAAGCGGAAATGTTCAACTAAAGAATTGAGTTCTAGATGTGCTCTGGTTGGGAATCTTAAAAAATCATTTCCATTAATAACAATTAAGTGCAATGCCAGGAGAGACCAAGAGAAGTAGTGAGCCTTTTAAGCCGAAGCTTAACTACACTAAAAGTGCTTTATATGATTTAAAAAAAATTTTATTTTCTAAAATAAAGTCACGCTAACCTTAACTCACAATTAAACACTTCTGGTCCCCTGTTGGTTTGATATTTTTTAACAGTATTAACAAACTCGGAAAAACTCTGTTATACATTTATTTGCATTTAAAACGTTCCTCTCATCTTTAAAACTTTGTAAACTACCCGCGTTATGCAACGGAAAATTGGCCTGCAAAAGCTTTTTTTGCCTGCAAAACTTTATCGTCCAAACTTATCGTCCAAACAATTCCCAACTGGTTCTAGCTGCGCGCGCATTAGCTTCCACTTCCCGACCTTCAGCAACTCGTGCCTCAAACTAATGAGTAAGGAAAACCAAATGGCCTTGCTAACCGCTTGGCAGTTTTGGCTTCTAGGCAGGGGGGCGACTTTCGTCCCTTGAAGCTCAATTTTTGCAAGGGCACAGGTCGTCCCCTCCTTTTCCGAGTGGGTGGCGTCCGGCTGAGCGAACCGGCACCTACTTTGTGCCCGGCGAGCGAGGCCGGATGCCACTTCTCGGCTGGGTGTTTGCGATCTGCCCGATAAATAATCCATTCGTTAAGCATCCTTTTATTATTAATTTATACAACAGAAATTTAAACATTGAACTTGCAATTTTTAAGAGGTTTTCGTCTCGATTGAACCATTTTTATTCCTACATAAACGAAAATATATATGAAGAAAAAAGGAGGTTGAATAAAACAAACAGGGTATTCCTGATTTACAAAGTAATTTATGCACTAGGTAAAAAAGTGAAATAACAAGCCTTCGTAACATAAAATTTATTAAGACAAAGATCGTTGTTATTTAATATACATTAGGGAAGTGGAAGTCAAAGTTCAAAGTTAGATGAAATCCAAAGAAATAAGCTGGCAAAAAAATGAAGTTGGTCCGCATAACATGATTACCATAATCATGATGATGTAGCTCTTTTTTGCTGCTCTCTGGGGAAGTTAGTGAACTTTCTTTTGCTTTCTTGACTTAATGGCGAAAATTGCATAAGCAAAGAGAAAGACATTCGCCGACTGGGAGAGCGAAAATCAGATATACAAGAGAGTAAACCTGATTGTGCAAAATATGTAAACAAAACCCAGTGGAGAAAGAGAGAAAAACAAAAAAAAAACCCCAGATATGTTGGTCAATTGATTATCGTATGCTAGTTTTGGCTTGGGTTTAGCTCGGATTGTTTAGGTTGATTTATGCAGCCCCCTTATAAATTCACTATATATATACACACCACTTTTCCATGCGGTGGCATGGCATACTTCCATACTTATAGATACAAATACGTATGGAAATGCGGTACAAAATTCGCAACATTGTCTCGAAACTGATGAGACACTGTTTTGTTTTTCTTTTTTTCGCAAACCTTTTTTTCGGTGAATTGCAAAAGTCTTGGCTTTCTGGGTTTTATGTTAAGCCAAAATTAAGGTTTCGCTATGAATTCGTTTTTAATTATTATTCATTATATTTTGTGCTGGTTCACAAAAACGGCAAGATTGGATGTCTCAGCATTGACCAAGTTTCCGAATTTCCGAATGCTTTCAAAGTGCAAGGGAAAAAATATTGTGAAAGGTTTGAGCCATTTTGTGCTTAACGATTTTCCATCAGAGAATTGCTTTTGCAGTGGCAATCAAGATTATCTTGCTAAAGTTAAAGGCTATTTCAGAAATGTTGCTTAATTAAATGTTATGGATTTGCAACACGGAAGAGCTTTCTTATTTTAACTATCAGTTTTTTAAATACATATAATAATAATACCTTTTTTGATTAGAATCTGTTTATAATTTTCCAACCCGTTTGTTTTTGTACGTCTGGCTTTTTATCATTTTAGGCTCCATTATTCGTTTAATTCCCTTAACATGTTTTGCATTGCTAATGATGCTAATTTTTGTAAATTTCGAGGTATTTCAATTAAAACACGACCAATGACCCATTTTACTCTCCAATTAAACTCTCTTAACTTCCATCAAAAGTATATATAATGAGCGTATCCAATTTGTTTGCGGAATTTACAACCGAATTTTGTTGGTTTCGAGAAACATTTAGAAATCCGTGATATTTCGCATCTGAAAAGTACTACAGGTGTTAATGGGCACCAATCTTATCGGCGTAATTGTTTATGGCGAAAGGGAAACTTGAGTGTTTTCCTTTTCGCCAACGGTGGCTGAGTCATGGCTAGAAGTTTTGGGGCAACACGGTATGACACACCTGCTGCTGATCCAGCAGGTGGGCGATAAGCTGTCGATACTCGGACCGAATTCAATCATCACAAGTCCAGTTAAAAACAATTTTTGGTTGCCGACAGAAACGAGTTATTTCTGAGGGAGAGATGGACGCGTGGAGTAAATAAAAGTGGGGAAAAGTGGCGTGATATAGAGATGCTGACTCAAAAAAGGGCCGTCATAAACAGAGAGAGAGAGAGAGAGCTTTTCTCCGAGCTTTATGTTTGGTACTATCGTTCATACCATATGTAGGAAAATATCAAAACATCATCCGAAAGGCCTATAAAAATAGCGCGGCTCTAACGAGATTTGCCTGCCGGCTCTCTGCCCACTTTTGACCAACTGTTTGTGTTAACGGTTGTCGTTAATTTGATGTTAATATATGTACATGTATGCACCACACTCATAAGCCGACCAAAATTAAATTAAGTTTCACTTTCAGCAATGCCTCTTCTTGACTCTCCATATTCGCCGTGTGTTTTCGTATTTATTTATTATTTTTTTTTTCGGCCTGTCGGCGTTTGTAATTGTTAACTAAATGCCGCCTGGCAATATATAATTGTGGCCGTAATTGCAATTGTAATGCCAGGTGCCTGTGGAGGGTGTTGGCGGCTCGCCTGTCATGCTGGCAATTATTGGTTAATTCGCAAATCGTTATACAATTGCCACGCTTCAACTGCAAACTTTAAAAATTTCCCCATGTGAACAGCAGTAATATGGTTTTTCAACAATATTAGGACACTGTATACGGAACTAGCGTGATGAAGCCACATTAAAGGACATTTTTAATGGGGGTGGAGTCAAAATCAAACGGGGTTTTGGGTAGAAACTAGGTTCTTTGTACTCGTACGTCCTCGTCACACTTATTTCCTGTTGTTGTGAATAATAACGTACTACTTCCTCAGATAAAAATAAATATAAACGAGTGAAACTACGACCATTGAATGACTCAAGCGTTTAAAATTTTGAATTACTTCCAAGATCGGTCATTCGCTCTATTGTGAAAATGTTCATTTGTGATTTTTTTTTCAGTTCTAAGCATTGGCGCCCACACACTTTTCTCACCCCATTTTATACGGCCCCCTTCTCCTTGTATGGAAACAAAACGTTTGCACACGCAGAGTACAATATTACACACTGCACAACAAGAACTATTTTTATCGGGTGATTTAATTTCTTGCAGGAATTGCAATTTGTTTTTGAGACCGGAGGCCGCCTCAAAATTAAAATGAGGCTTGTAATAAGAAAATATATGTTGCTTAAATTGATAATTAATCATATGCAACTATGTATATAACATAACAAATATTTAGTTTAAAATCTAGTTTTCAATTTTATGAAAGCGCATAACTTAATTATTGTGTAGTCTGGTGTACACTGTCCAGTTGAAGTGGGACAAACGAGCGAGTACATAAGTGAATGTCCTGCTGTCCTGTCCGGCGACTCCAGCCTGGTAGTATTGCCCCCCAAAAGCCACACCCACTTATTGCATGCCACGCCATGTGCCACAGACTGAACTTTGTCCGCTGGGCATGTTAAATAGAACGTGCACCTACATATAGAGCTAATCAGTTTAATGACTTTAATGACGTACTGTCCGAAATGAGCGATGGAAAAAAAAAAAAAAGTGGAAATGCATTCGGAACTTAGGTAAGGAGGAATGCAAGTGGAAGTCCACTCTCTAAATATGTAAACACCCGTATATGTAAACCAAACATGCGTTGCCATTGGTTAAGTATGTCTACTTAAATATTCATAAGCTTATTTAACCACGATTTTAATTTGCTTAATTTATCCTTTTGCCTCTCCCTAATTTTAACCCTTTGCAGTCATATAAAAAATGCCCTGGAACCTGCCCCCAAACGCATTTTCATCGCTCTTCCATTAAATTCACACCTTTCTATGCCAAGTACGCCCATTTGTTTAGCCGTCTCTCCTTCATGTGGGTAAATATTGAGACGACATTCCGAAAAGAGCCGAGTGTGTAAAGCAGAGTTAACAACAATAAAAACATAAAATTGTCCGAGAAATCCCCAATGAGTGTCCGTCGGGAGAACTGCCGTGCAACCCAGGGCCAAGCCCCTATATGTATATAACTCAACTCAACTCAACTCATCTGATTCCAATGGGTGTAGGCTGGAGTGTGGGCAGAAATGGGTACTCTAAAAATTATGTAAGCAGTCTTTATTGGAATCGCTGAAAGAAGATGAGCAAAAACGTTGATTCCGAAACAACAAAAAATGTATGTTTTTTTCTCCATTTTTTTGCTTCTAAACAGAACCTTTTTTGAAACGTTTTAAGAATTTTATAATGAAGAAGGAATGAATTCATAATACCTCAAAAAACATACATATATATTAGATGATTCCCATTTTAACCATACCAACTTTCAGCTGTTCATATTCATTATTTTCCCAGAAGAAACTAGAAACAAAGAACTTTACTAGTGAACTTTGAAACTTACTGCCCAATTTGACAGTAGCTTTTGCGAGGCCATAAATCGCCCCCAAACAGGTGACAAACAGAAATTATGATCTTGCAAAAATACAGACTAGACTAGAGGCGCCCAAAAATGGCATGTCACGAGCCCAACTTAATTTGGCCACAAAAACCCGATGACGACAATTAGAAGCAGGGAGGCAGAAGAAACGCAAACAGCAAAGCGAAACGAGACAATTGTCAGCACGGAAAGCCAATTGAATCCATCACAGCCACAGGTAAATCAGGTAACGAGGAACAATCGTGTTGACAGTTGGAAAAATTGCTAAAATACCCAAAATTGCTAAAAATCAAAGATCTTTAGGTATTGGAAACTGAGGCGGAAAAGTGCGTGTTGCAAACTCAATTGCCTGGTAATAGAGATTGGTTCAAGGATCCACCTTTAGCATTATCGATTGATGAGCTATAATTTTATATAATTACACGTGAAACTCAACAGCTGTTTGGCTTAATAACAAAGAGCCACTTGGACTGCAGTCATTCCGGAGAATAAACTGAAACAAAGTGCGATTGAGTAAATATGGGGTTTCCAGGGATTGGTTTTATTAAATAGAAACATTTCAACTGGCTGCAATGGGCGTGTGGATTTGTGGGTGTAATTAGTGCCACTCCTCCCGCCGCCAGTTAGTAATTTCTCAAGGTTTCAAGGGCAGAGCGATAATTTCGCAGAGTTGGCGAACCAGCAAAGAACACATGTTCCCAAGTAGTCTAGTAAATATGTATGGAAGACTCACCTCGGCCGATTTTGCATAAAGTGCTGACCACCGAATATTACCAGCATGTAGATGCCGCAGTAGTAGAACACCCATGTCCAGTTCTCTAGCATCCATTTGCGCGTGCGCTGGTGAATGAAGTCGTTCTCGAAATCAAAGATGTACGAGTAGTTGGGCGTAACGCTAATGTCCATGTTGATCATTTTGGTGGGTTTTATGTGTTGTGTTGGTGGCTATGTTACTTGGTTTATGCGCAGCTAAGGAGGAAAAATAACGTAGAACTCTATAAGTTAAAAGGTTATAAAAAGCTGAGTAGTTTGTTTAACATAATGATTTGATATTGCTTAATTATAAGGAAGTTGAACCTTAACATTTCAACGTTAATTTGCAGGTGTTATTGTTTTTAATTTGAAAGACCTAGACAAATTTCTAGCTCAAATAAAAACGCTGCAATAAAATTCATTTTTGTAGAAAGAAATTTGTTGTGTCTACACACATTTGGCTTCAAATGGTATTGACCAAGGGTTCAAGTTAAAAAGTGATACTTTGTACATTTCTTTATTAGATGCTTTTTGTTGAACTTTGTTAGTGGGAAACCTTTCGAAGGAGTTTCACAACAAACCTCTAAATGTTTTAGCGGGTCATAAAAAAATACTTTTCATTTTTAAGTAAGTGTAAAGTTTGAATGTTAGCTGACGTCTTATGACATTTTGAGATGTGAAGCTTTTTTAACAAGTTACCACTAAACCCTTTTCAAAATTATTTTATTTTAAAATTTATTGTATTATCATTGAAAAAAACCCATTTTCTCTCGATCCAAAAATAAGTAAATGGTAAAGTACAAAGAATATTTTCAAGTTATCTACAATACGAATGTTTTTAGTTTTTCTGCTTATGGGCTCCCGAACTTTACTGTTTGCCGTATCTTATCTGTTCACTAAGTAATGGGGATTTTACACGAGGTTTAAAGCTGAATTCAGTAAAAAGTTCCGCACCACTCCCCCTTTATCACACACACGCATACACAATCAGGCACATTAAAGCGCGCGTTTTGTCGCATAAATTTCTGGACGACCTTCCTTTCCCCTTCGTCCCGCCCGCACTTCTCCTCTCTCTCATCTTTTCCATTGATTTTGCGAAACAACAAAAAAACACCGCTGGTCCATGGAGGCTAAGGCTCTCTCGCTCATTCTCTCTCTGTGCCTTCCCCACAGATTGTTTCTGGCTCGCTCTCTATGAGATGTGCAACGCTTTCATGAATGGCGCACGCTTTGTGGTCATCTTCATTTACATTCTTCCGCTTTTCACACTTTTCATACCTCGTGCTGGAGCTCTAATAGATACACAAACCACTTGCTACAGAGAAAAATGGAGTATATGCCTTAAGTAAAGTCTTTTAAAATCTTAGCAAATGTGGTTGCTAAGAAAAAAATCATTTTTTTTTTAATTTTAAAAATGTTATGGGCATTCTCAGAGCATAATTACTAAAGAAATCATTTTTTTAGTCCGAATATTGTTTTGACTCTTTTTAATTTCCGAAGTATTCTTTCAGTGTAGTGGGCACACCGGGTGAGAGGGGGTGGCTGTAACGGTAAGTGTGACTATGTGGTAAAGGGAGAGCGCCAGACTGGCGGGCTCTCTCCCTTGCTCTCTTGGTAAAAAAGTCTCGTGCAAATAAAAAGAATTCGGAAGAAATGCAAGCATGAGCAAACACAAAAATCAGCCGAAACACAAATGAGGCAGGCACAATTTGCCGGTGGGAGGGAAATTAGTTTGAATGCCTAATTGCATGCCAGACACGCGACTTTAGAAACACACACTTTTACGCACTCTCACTCACTCTCGCACACACATACAGGTGATTTCGTTTAGTATAAGCTTCGCTTTGGAAGCTTTTTTGTTGTTTCTTTTTGAGTAACATATCCGGTTTTTTGCGCGAGCGCTTTCAAAAATTTCTAGTGAAATTTTTGTTCGTGGCTCTAGCGGTTTTTTATGATTTCAAAACACCTCACCCTCTCCCCACACTGTCTTGCAAAAAACACGCGATTTTTTTTTTTTGGTTATTTTTCTTTCCGAATCGATAAACTATTCAGAAAAATCAGCAAACGTCTGAGAAATATGTTTTCGCCTCTCTCTCTCGCAGCATCGGCAGAAAAAGGGGCGCAAAACAAGGAGGAAATAAAACCACCACAAAACATTAACGAGTACACGCACTCACACAGTATCACAGAAAACACGGTTACTATTTTCGAACGGTGATGGCTATGAGGTAATTACTTTTGCTCGCCGCCTCTTATCGCAATATCAATTGGCTGGATCGTCCACACACTTTTACCAGCGGTTCAGCTAACTCAAAAAACTTTCCTCGGATTCGCCGGCGCAAAGCGAACTGAACGTGAACTGTTGTGGCGGTTAGTATATTACTTTGTTTTTCGTCTAGACTTTTGTATTCTTCCACTGGAGGCGCTTTTGCCTGCTCTGTTAATGGTAATGCTAAAAATGTTTCGGTATTTTTAGTTGTCGTGTTATTTTTCTTGGCTCACGGTCACACAGCGAGGGGGTTGCTTGGCGCTCCCGTGCTCTTTTTAAAAGTAGCCGCTGTGCCCCTCTCTCACACTGTTAAAAAAGCTTTTAACCTAACATTTCTGTTAGCTTTTTTTGATTTGTTCAAATAATTTTTACATTGTACCGTTACATTACTAACCAAAAGATTCATTTGGCGAATGGGAAAATTGTATTTCAGAATCGCACTGGATTTAACTGACATATAATTTAAGCAACAAGAAGTTGAGTTATGTATCAATTATTGAGTTTCCCCATAATCAGCAATAAAAAAACACTTTTCTATCATCAGTTGGAGCTATTCAAATACTTTTAAAAAGCTGTTAATAAAGCTCACTTAAAATGTATTGTTATTTCAAATAGAAAAGTTACCCTTTGTTGTGAAATTTACAACTTACCAATGAACAAAATCGATTAAATTAGAGGGGGTGTGGTTTGTTTGGTTTATTATAAATACTATATTCAATAGGGGTTACAAAGTGTTTGAAGGAGTTGCAAGGGAGGCTTCCTTGAGAGGCTTCTCTTCCATATTCTTTGCATTAAGCATATTAAAGCTTTATACCAGGCAACGTATAAGCTGATTGCCACTACGATCTAAGGTCCTACAGGCTACTTAAGACATAACCTACTAGATCACAGTTGGTGGGGGCTGGGGAAAACCCCCCAGTTTTATTGAGAAGCTCACTGATCCCGTATATCAGGGGATCAGGACTAGAAGAGTCCCATGCCGGACACGTTCTCCGAGAGGATCATCTTCTGGACGTCCCAGAAGACATCGCGGATGCAGCGCGTATCGGTGGCGACGGTGAAGTGGTAGTAGCACTCCCTTTCGGAGGTGCCCAGGTCCACCTGGTTCCGCGAGTGGCGCTTGAAGGGCTCCTGGGTGATGTCCACCAGTTTCTGCTTGATGAACATCTTCGTCCAGTCGCTCTCGTCGAAGCAGTTGTCCTGCTGCGGCCTCTTGGTGAAGTCCTCGTACTCCGGGAAGTAGTCGACGATGTGCTTTCCGGCCCGGATCTTCCGCTCCATGATGTCGTACTTGTTGAGGAACACAATCAGTCCGGCGGAGGCGAGGAAGCGATTCTGCCACACGGCCCGGAACAGTTTGAGCGCCTCCTGCAGGCGATTCTGGCCGGGATCCTCGCGCAGATTCTGATCGAATTCACTGCACGAGATCAGGAAGAGCACCGCCTGGATGCCCTCGAACACCTGGATCCACTTGTTCCGCTGATCCCGCTGCCCGCCGACGTCGTACATCTGGAACTCCTGTTCGCCGCCACCCATGCTCTTGGGTATCGGAACGCGGAAGGTGATCTGCGAGATGCCGGTGGTGATCTTCCGACTGTGCAGGATGTCCTCGGTGCTGGGGATGTACTCAGCATCGCTGATCCGCACAAAGTTGTCCAGGAAACTGGAAAGTAAAGAGAGGAAAACTTTAGTAAGGGGTACTTAAAAAATTAAATAAATTTTGGGATTAAAATTTTGTTAAAAGGTTTTTATTTATTTTTTTTATTTCTTATTTATTTTATTTATTAATCGTAATTTATTGGTAATACTTACTATTTGGCACTATCCAGCAGGGGGTATTCATTCGAGCGATCGTAGCAGGCGCGAATGCCCACATCGTTCCACAAAGTGGTGACGTGGTCGCAGTACTCCTAAAAATATAGAAAACAAAAACCCGACAATTAGTATTGTTTATTAAAGACTAATAAGGTTTATATCAAACTTAAGACGGATGTTTGCTGCAAACATTAAAACAGACAAATGCAAAAGGCTAACCCTGTTGTAAAAGTGTCTGGGTGACTGACTTAAACCACTCTTCTTGCACTATATATGATATGGATCTAAAACACCCAGATTGTGTCATTTAACTGTCATAAAAATTACGTGCCCGACGAAAAAAGAAACAACACTTAAGAAGTGATATTGCAAAAAAAGGAAATGCCAAAAAAAAATCAAATATGACTTGAAAAGGTTTAAAGTTATAGTATGTACTTTCAAGTATAATATGACATAATAAAAAGTATAATAAATACACATTACGTATTCCTTTATTTTTGGGTTATATTAAAATTTCTTTCCCAAGAAAAGTAATAATTTCGTTCCGAATCGGGTCACGTATTCGAATAGGTGTCATAAATTTCTGGGGAAAGCAAGGGGAATCCAAACTTCGATACTTGGGTTCCTTTTGTTTATGCTTAGTATTACTCACTGTTAAAACATAATACCAAGAATGACTGGCATCTAGATCTGGCACCGCCCCGCCCACTCGGAGTCTTGAACAACCTTGGTAATCTTATCGTTGGCCATATAATAATATAATGACCACTGGGTAGAAATGTAGATATATTCGGGAAAGATAGAGCAGATTGCGTGGCATGAATCATATTCAAAGGCCGCTGCAGCTGCGGCAAACTTAAAAGAGGGGAAAAAGGCATGCAAAAGTCGGGCCAGGAAGTCCGATTTACAAAACACTTGTTTTGGAAAGTTTTCAGACATTCCGCGCCGCCTAATGCCTAATGGATGGGCTATCAATCAAATCGACAACGAACAGATAAGGAAAATCGATCGAAAGCCGTTGGAGATTTGACGCAAGTCTTGGGCGACTTCAAAGTCGTTTGGCTTGGATTTTCTACCAACTACAAGTATGTATTTCCAAATGCGACAACACGACAACAGAGTTTGAAGTGCAGCGAGGGATAAGATACAGATACAGATACAGAAACAGATACGACTACTTGACAGCTGCGAAACTCACCTCATTCATGTACTCGGGCGCCAGTCCGGGCAGGGAGAGGATATAGTCGGCCGATCTTTCGCTGACACAGCTGCCGAAAGGGATGCCCAGCAGGCCCATCTGGTTCACCAGCTGCAGAATGGATTCGTGGATGTTCTGGTATATCTCGGGTATCTTTTCCCGACGCTCACTGCAAGTGGAGGAGGCCTTGAGTTAAATCGGATTTAAATTCCGCGAATTTTTCTTTTATTAAGAGCTTTTGTAAAGAAGTACAGTACAGTAAGAACAGTATTTACTTAAAGCTCCTTGAAAGCTTCCTCCAAAAACTACATTATGATCCCACTAGGCAGTTATAATTCCCAAATGGTTCTGTCAGTTAATATCATGCTCTTTATGATACAGATATTTAGTTCCAATACTTACTCGTCTGTAAATCCATTGATATGCAGTATCCGCATCTGTTTAATGATGGTGGTCTTGCCGGACTCGGCGGTGCCCAGGAGCAGGATCTTGACGGTGGTATCCCGCACTCCTTTGGGCAGGTCCTTGAGCAGTTGGTGGTCATGCGCCGCCTGGAGCTGATCCTCCTTTTGGCCCATTACCGCCGCTGGTTTCGACGGCTGCTGGCGCAAGCACCGAAAAAGTCTGCATCGAAATAAAAGAGGAGAAAGCAAATTTACTTAGCTGGTTGTTTGGCTTTGACTTCTAAGGAAAAACACGCCGATCAAAGGCCTATATATAGCCAGGGTAGCCTGGTAAATATTTGCTTACACCCCAAAGACCGTCACCCAGCCAGACCTGATGTATGTTTAATTAAAAGCACACAGAAGCCGGAGACAGTTAGAGATACGAGGACGTGTACTTTTTCTACTACTACGGAAAATACGCAATAGATAAAACCGCAATGGACCCAAAAACTGGAGTGGGAAATCGGTGGTCTGGTCTGGTAAAAAAAGCAAAGCTGACGCATTGGCGGCGGCATTTCTAACACTAATTGCCAATAATTGGAAACCGTAGTACAAACTTTAATTAGGAACAGGGTACAGTGCGTTCCAGAGCGATAAAGTTGCTTTTCAAACTAAGAATTGTGAACAGGTTGAAGTCTTCAAAACTGCATACTAATTGCTAGTTAACAAAGTTATTTGCCAACTCATTCCATCGATGCAGAAACTGTTTGCTTTAAGTTTATATCAAGGTGTAAATACCTGAAGTCATTACTGAGTCATTACAAAAGTTGGAAGACATAAAAAGGCAATTATCGAGTTTAGGTTTTGTAAAACAAACATTAAAGAAAGGAGTAACCACTAGAAAAATGTTGTATTTCAAGTGATGTTATGGCATTGATTTAATTTATTTTTAAAGACTAAATATCAATTTCACTTGAGTCGTAAAAAGACATAACTATCTAGCTAATATAAAACCTTAGGCCACCACTTTAGGCAATCAAGAAATGACATGATGAAATCCAATTAAAAACAATTCAAGAAGTTATCAAAGTAGCTCCATTATTGGGTATTTGGGTTATTGGGACTTTGATTGGATCACGTTTAAGATATAGCCAGACATCGCTCCGGATTCCACACCCAAAAAACCTCAACAACAAATAATATTTCGATTTAATAACTGACTAATTGCAGTAATTGGAAGCGTGGAAAAGTTCTGCCAATTCTTATTCCAAATGGACGTACTTTGCTCTACCTTTTGGTTATAACTGCCTTATATTGTCACCATCGAGTCAGGTGAAAATCATTCACTCGAAAACGAATTTAGAGGGGGAGAAGTGGGGATGGGGAAATGGGGCCGGGCGCTTGCAATTTTATTGCCGGCAATTGTAATTGGGCGATTGCCAAAAACCAAAAGACCATTGGCTCTGGCTGATTTTCGATTTTCAACCTTATCGAAGGCGCCCGCCACTCCAGATAGGAACCCCTCCTTATCGAGGAAACGGACTCTCCTGCTCTCTCTTCTTTCCCTTAAACAAGATCAAACCCTTTGCAAATTTAACTTAGAGGTAGTCCTCTTCCCATTTTAACCATAACCTAGCTAACCAACTTTATGGTTCATTTGCCAAAGTTAATCATGAATATTTCCCCACAATTTCTATATCAGGGAGCAAATTGGGAATTTTCGATGAGTGTGGCTATCTTTACGGCGCCGACTGTAATTTCTTACTTGATTTTAACGGGCTCTATAAAGCTGGACGTGGATTTATGACAGCTTACAACAAAGGAATAGCACCCAACCGGTGTCCATTGACCTCCTGCCTTCCAATTTGCGGCTAGCAACTAAAAACTGTATCGCCCTACGAAGTTTCGATTAATTGGTGAAAACCAAATAAACCCGTCAGGTGCCAAATGGAACGTGTGGCTAATCTTAACACACAAAAAACCGTAAAATTGTATAATTTATTCACAGATAATATTGTGACCAGGTGACCAGGTAATTAACTTTGATGCCCAAGCTGCGTCAGTTAGGTGGGAGTTATGAGAATCGCAGAGAAGGGATTGCGTCAGCCTCATGAACTCCCAAGCGGTCAGAAAAATATATTATATATTTGTAAATGTCAGATCGATCTTATTAATAATGTACACAAATTATCGCCCACTCTGGTCAGCTGAATAAGAATAATTTACAAAGAACCCGCCGTGCCGTAAAAATAATAACTCGAAATATACTTTGAAAAGGTCAAATGGTTTGTGGTCGCCCCATAAAGTTAATTTGCATTATCTTTTCGACGTGCAGTCTGATTTGGGTTACCCAAAGAGCGTGATTAGCTTTCCCCAAATATAGAACGGAACATATTGGATATTCCGGCATGATATCATCCGGACACTGATAGGAAAAATATATGAAATATATGTATACCAAAAGTAACTTCCATTGGTTTGGATGGCTTATCTCTATCACGCCGATTGAAGGTTCTACTTTTTGGGGCTAAAGAACTGTGATTTCGGGGCTTTTAGCTGGCAAAGGGGAAGTCTGTCCCGATAATCAAACATACGAGTCTATAACAAATAACCCACTTTTCCTAGAAAATAGAGACCAACCTTAGTTTCATGGTTCTGAGTGTTGTATCAATTGTGTCCGATCGAATTCGCTTTTGTGGAAATCGCTGCCGTCGTCTTGTTTGTTCACTTTTGCTCACTGGTACACAATTTGCTATTAAATACTTTGGATTCCACTGGTTTATACTGTTTTCCCTGGTCGGGAATGTGTTTATCGAGCACTTGAGTTCTTGTCACTGCTGCCGTAATAATAATATCCATCTGTCTGTATCACTGAACTCTAGCCTGTGATTGCCTGTGATTTCAGGGTTTTCTTTTTTGTACTTTTCTGTTTTGTGGCTCGCTTGAGGGCGAAACAACACGTCTAACACCGTTTTATGATCACACAGCACTGAAAGTCACTGCGAACGGGTTGAATTCTTAAATATCAGCTCGGTTCCATTCAGTTTCGAGATAAGGTCCCCCGAAGAGCGAAAGAGAGAGGTTGAGTGGCGCTGAGTGGGTGGTTGGGTGGATTTTAGGGGGGATAAGGGGGGCAAAAGGGGAGCGAAGGGAGCCCTCGTAGCCACGAATCGTTTGTTAATTGCTTGTACGGGTGTTCGAAGCAAGAATGTACAATATCGGTGATAAGATAGCTGGTTGAGGGTAACTATACACAGAGACCATCCAATTCATACAATCCATACAATCGTCGGTTAAAGAGAATAATTAAAAAAGAGAAATGCATGTTTTGATTAACTCTTAGCTGCGCAAACTGCCAAATCATCGGAATATCAGTGAGAGCTGCTGAATTTGCTGGAATTCATTTATGATGGATCCACACGGAAAGAAATCCAAGGGCTTGAAAATTCTGAATCACGGTTATAGGACTATTTGAAAACCTTTTTGAATTTAGAAGTATAACATTACTATTTGGCTATATAGATTAACCTACAAAGTAAGGATGCAATAGTCTGATCTCTGGATCCCTAAGTATAACCTAATTACATTTAAGAATTTTTTATATTGTGTATTATTAATAGGTGGCTGCTCTTTATAAAATTAATTTATGCTGGATTCCTCATTATAAGTCCTTCGAATATATATCCATACATACTATATATATTTGTATGGCAAATACAGAAGTCTTACCAATAAATACAAATGCCTAAGGTCATGTTTTATAATTCAAAATGTACCTTTAAGGACCTTATTAATTAGTCGTTTGATACTAGAGATTTAAGAGCCCCTCTTAAGCTTATATTTATTTTTAAATTAAAGTCGCATTGTTCAATAAATATAAATGCCTAAGGTCATGTTTTATAATTCAAAGTATACCTTTAAGCACCTTCCTAATTGGTATCAAACCTCTAGAGATTTAAGGGTCCCCCTCAAACTTATATTTATTTTTAAATTAAAGTCGCATTTTGTTCAAGTGCTCTAGGTTTACAGGTCATTAAAACACCTGTGCGCTTGTAGAACAGCTCCTAGAAACTCCAGTGGCAGAAGTGAAGTCACGTAACATGAAATACGACGTTCTTCTATTTGCAGGTCATAATAGAAATTGTGCTGATAGAAGCGCCACCAATCGACAAACCGCATCCGGAATAGTTTTACTCCAGGTGGAGGAGCACTTGGGCCAAAGCAATTACGAGCTGTAGTTACACATTTTTAGGAATGGAATGGTATGGATGGAACTTTACCCCCTCTTCAGCGAGAAATGACAACGAAAATTGCACTTGATCGCTGGCTCGGATTACAAGAGTTGGCTTATTGTTTGCATACTAAGGGGAATTGTTTTGCAACTATCTCTGCACTAGAAAAACAGGGCACTCGACCGAACATGTAATTAAAATACAGGGCCTCGACAACACAACACCATACAGAACTGAACCCAACCCTAGAGAACCTATAGAACCCTTATCATATCTGATTTGTTTGGGTGATTTGCCAGCAGATCCGTGAGGATTTGACCCACTGATGGATGGGATCGTAAATTAAGAGATTGGTGGAGATCGCAGCAGTTGGCAACAGATTCCAACCCTTAGTTCATGGAGGTTCACTGCGATCTGGGTTCTTAAAAGGCTTATACGATATGAATTGGCCGATATGAATCTCGGGTTAATAAGTTGCCGGGCGGCACTTGGCCACCCCACTTGACAGTCAAGGTCGTTGGCTGCTCGAGCCACCCACTTATCGTTCAGTCAAAGTGCTCTGACTGCTCCTCCTCCGCCCATTTTATAGACTTAATTGTCTGTTTGCAAGTCGTCTGGCTGGGGAGCTGAGCAGAAAGAGTCACGCTTTCTCCAGATAGAGACATTTGGGTGGGCATGGCCTTTAATTGCCGCGAATTGTGCGCGAAAATTTTCCTACAAACTGAGCAGCAGCCATAAAACCGAATTTTATGGATCGAGCCCCCTCGCTTTGATATTACTTCTGAGTAACTTTGGGCCTGACAAAAGAGTCGGTAACTTTAACCCGCCGCCGTAGTTTCGCCATAATTCGTTTGATTGCAATAAGTTAGTAACTCTTGAAGAATTACTAAATTGGAATTTGCGGAATGGAATTTAAACTATTTTGTTTACCACAGAGGAGATTGAAATTCAGGGAATTAATGTCTGACCGATTGGTATTGTGTATACAGACCCGAAAAACAAGTCGCCATTCATTTCCCAGTATCAGTCGCGATTTGGTGTTGGCCTCTCAAGATTTTAAAGATTTCCGATTCCGCAGACAAGAATTCGAAATCAAGCGCACAAATCGCGTGACTATACCGTCTGAATGCCAAATAGTCTTCTCCGTAAAACACTGGCGCGTTTGTATTATATAAATCTGATTCTGAGGGTGTTAGTGTTGGCGATCGTGATCGTAAATCCTGATTCGATTGGAACCCATTCCGAAACGCCGGCGCTAATCGTGTGGAACCTCTTTCCCAACCGAAATAATCTTTGCTGATATTCTCCACTATCAAATACGCTTGAGAACACGATATTGGGTATAAATTAATAACTAACGACCTCATTTTACATTAAAAAAATGTGGATATGACAGAAATATGTGTATACATTATTATACCTTAAATAATTACTTTGAGAAATCTATTTTTCTTGATTTAATCATTTCATTTTATTTCATTTCATTATAAACAGAGTATTTTTTTAAGTGTGAAGTGATTGCAAATGTTTTACAATGTTTAGAGACCATTACAATCAGTTGTTTTTGATTTTTTGGATGATTTGGATTCAGGCAACAGAATTATTCATGGTATTGGTATTTTGTATTATTATTATTATATTTATTATTTTTCAACGGTGGCGCTAATCGTGTGGAAAGAAGAAAGGGGCTCTTAGCCGAAATAATCTCTGCTGATAATGCATAAGCATGCTTGAGAACCCGATATTAGTTATAAATTAATGTGGAGCTAACGACCTAACTGTACTTTAAAGCGCGATTAGTACGGCGTTTATAACGAAAGACTATTTCATTGAAATTGTGTGTTTCCGGTTTAAAAAAAGATGTGCGAAAATAAATAAAAAAAAGTAAACTCCGAATAATTAATTTTTGTCTTGCAAGAAATTATTAAATAAATGCATCTATCAGCTAAACATTTTTTATAAATGCGGATTCAAAGTAATTTTTTCTATGTTTCAATTTGTATTATATATTAATTCCAGGTAAAAAATAGTTCGAAATACATACAAATACTTAAGTAGTTAATGTGTTTTCATAATAGATTAAGTTCACAGACTTGGAACTTAACTTGGAAAGCTTTTATGATCCTATCTGCCATCCGACAGGCCCTCGTCATCATTTTGCCAGCCTACGTAAGCTGTTAATTCCGGGGACCTTGCGTCTTCGGCACAACCCAAACGTGATCCTAGGGCAATCCATCAAGTGCGGTCCCGATATCACCGCTCAACTGGCTGATAGATATAGTAGATACAGATATAGTGGTGTACCCATACTCACCTCCTCTCTGAAATGGCTCTTCACTTCGGTGTTATTTGTCTAATTCGACAACACAGAAGGCAGATAAACGCGAGGCGCTTAATAATTCCATTGTTTTTGTTTTGGCTGCAGTGTTGACAACCATTTGATTGGGGAAAGGTGGGTGGAGGCGGCTACAGGTGGGTGGAGTGTGGGTGGTCGTGGGAGTGGAGCACGTCTCCGGTTCATGGGTGGTGCTCACTGGCGGATGATGTACGAGCAGCGGGTTGAAGTTGAGTGATAGCCATGCCATCGAAAGCTGGCAAAAACAAGTGATTCACAGCTATCTACTATTTTTTGGAGGCAGATTTGAAACGCAGTTACGAAACAAGTTCTCATGAAGATGAAATAAAAGTCCCCGCGGCGAACAACCTTCAATTAATGCCACTCGTTGGTTGAAACGTAAAATATCAGTTAATAATTAAAGCTTTTAATAGCGTCTGCAGGAGCTAAGCTGCACCATTGGGTTGTAATCGCCATAAATCAATCCAATATAGTTAGGTTTATATACTTTTTGAGTACCAATGCCCTTAGATCGTCTTTTGTACAGAAAACAAAGCTGTTGACCATCTGGAAATAGAATTTCTTTATGCGCCCCGCTATAAAGATGTTGAGATTAAATGGTACTTAATCGCTAAATAATTGGCACCGCTTAGTGAAGAGGTTTTTTAAGACCCTAGCACCCAGCACCACTTTCAACCAGCCCCCTACAAATTTCGATGCCACTTAACCAGGTTATTTGGACATTGTTTGAGCACGTGTTTATGACACACTTTGGCCCCATTATCTCGAGTTAAGTGGTGCGCCTTACTTCATATGCATATGGTGATTGCATTACCATCAGCCATAAAACTGAGTAATCTGATTGTAATACTGACCGATCTGCGTTGCATTGCATGGGTCAGTTATTATGATATATGGCATGGTATAGCTGCATGCGAAAGTTACCCGATTAAGCAAATAAAGAATGGTGGAGCTTAAGTTTATCAAGTCCAGCGATAAGCTGTACTGGTAATCAACCAATTCAGTCAGCAACGACATTTGGAATACTCTTCAAATACATTTACTTCCAATTCTCCATTATTCTTAGGGTATTTTTGGATTAACGCAACTTCGTACATAAAGATGACTTGTTTGTTTTATTCAGGGGGATCCCCTTATCTGCAAATCCGATTACATACCACGTACAATTGATTTATACCACGACCTCGATAATCGGTGCTTAAAACTATGACACAGCAAATTGTTAGTCAGACAATAAAAACATGCAAGGCTCTCCAGTTAAATGTATGTATTATAATATGCTTTACAACTAGGCGAAAACAGTTTGGGGATAGAATAAGAATAAGAATCGAATGTATTGCGACAACACGGTGCGGAAGTGGCTTCCTCGCTGCCCCTCCGCCACCCCTCATCACATCACTTCAGAATAGACCATTTGAGCTGCTCACGCGCCGACTGCAGAACCTAAAAGATAGATAGCACACACGAATATAGATACAGATACTCAGCAGTTATGTCGATCAATTAGCTAATGAACCAAATCAAAGCGAGCGTAAGGTTCCAGAACATTTCAACGATTTTTATTTGATCATTCTCGAGGTACAATGAAATGGGACAAATTAATCAAAACTAAGTGAAGAACATATACACAACTACTTATTGTTTAGCATCTGTTGAATTTCCGCTTACAAATTAAAAACATTCTTGGAAAAGGTGATTTAAACACACATATGATAAAAGAAGTACTACTAGTGTTGATCCTAATTCAATTGAGCCAAGTTTCCGTACATTTTTATCGTAAAATCTTCATAATTTAGAGTAAAACAAAAAGTAAGAGCAAAGGAATCACAATATACAAATAAAATATTGGTACAAATGCCTAAATTAAACTAAAAACTCAAAGTTTAAGGAGCATATTTATTTGATCATTTGGCGGTAACAACAAATTGAGGAATCATTGGGCGGGAGATAATCAAGGTACGAGACAAAACAATACCAATCTAAAGTACGAGCCTACTATTCGATTATACACAGAGCTACTAAGTAGTTAGACTACCAAAATAGGCCATTTAGGGTGTTAGTTACCTGGGCAACGGTCTGTTCGGCAATGGGAATGTCGTCGTTGCGCAGATCGACACGTTTTACCACGGACGAAGGATCCGCGTCCAGGATCATGCTGTAAGAGAAAATATAATAAATTAAATGGTGAAGAATTACCTATATTAAAAGAAGTCAATAAAAACATAATGATAAATATTAAGATTCAGCAGAATTGATATGAAACGTTTAAGTCATCCAAATTGTAAACAGAATAAATTACTCTCTAATAAAGTTTAATTTTAGTTTTAAACTATTGAAAATAGTAGAGCTTGTAACAAAAAGGTATAAAAGTCCTTCCTTGTTACATAGTAACATCTTTTCTATACAATTTGGGATAAACCAATTAGAAATTTGTGAGAGCCCTTAGCTTTGAATTCAGATAAGCAGATATCACTGGCGATATCTCTTCATATACCCACCCTCCGTCGCAGATCTCGTCAAATGCCAGCATTATGATCTCGAGGTTCTCCAGCACCAGGCGCTTCTCCACGTTCTTCTTGAGGATTAGGCTGATGGAGTCGTAGAGGCAGTTGAGCACGGAGAGCAGGATCAGCTCGTTCTCGTAGGCGTTGCCCATCACGTAGAAGAAGAGGTCCACGTTGCTCTTGTAGACGCAGGTGAGTCCGTCGAGCATTATGATCTCCGTGTTGGAGCGGTGCGTCTTGTTGAACAGATTCTTTTCGAAGGCCTTCTGCTCCTTCAGCGTGGACAAGATGTTCTTGTCGTAGTACTTCGCCAGAATGCGGTTGCCATCGTTGTCCATGATGCACATGCCCTTGATGATGTCCTGCGTAACATGATGGGTTGAAAATTAAGCCACTTCTTTGTGTATTTTACAATTTACCATCATGAAACCGTCCATTTTATCTTGTTTTCGTGTCTTACACGTCACTTGGTGTGACCGTACATCGACCGCTTAGAAATACCAACAAAACAATGCTGCCAATGTGGTTGCTAAAAATTAATAGCTAAAACTACAACAATAAGGTTAAAATAGCTAGAGTGATATCACTGCCTGGCCATGAAATTATCAAAAGGTTAAAGACTTTGCTGTAGGCTTAGTACATGGTAGGGAACTTAGCTATTAACCATTGAGCCAATTTGAATTTAAGTTTGCATCATACAAAGTTTTTAAAAACATCTTCCTTTGAAATCTCCCTTAAACTCTTTTTACGACATATTTGATACACATTTTAAAGCTTCAAATAATTGAGTCTCAAATTTCTTAAACGTAGCAACTACTGCTGACAAACCAAAATTGTGAATACTTCGTAAAACCCACAGAAACACTTTCAAATTATTTGCGCTCAGTCAACGAATTTATGTGAACAATTGAAAACCATCGCAATGGACACGCTGCCGGATGAGTATGTGGCCAAGCTAGATCTAAAGCACTTGGAGGAAAAGAAGATGGCGCGTTCCTCCCGGCGACGTCATGACCACGAAGCCCTGGCTGCCGCCCATGTGGTGGTGGCCACCATGGCTGGCAAGCCAAAGCCTCCAAAGCCAGAGTCCAAAAAGCTGCGAAAGAAGCTCACCGAATGCGAGCAGGAGAACCAGTCGCTGTCCCAAACCATTCAGGACAAGAATCAGGAGATTTTCGCTCTCAAGAAGTCCGTGGATTCCCTCAATGATGTCCTCAATTCGGTGCCCATCGATGAGCTGCGCAGCAACTCCTCCATTGCCAGTACCAAAATCTTGGAGTTGAGCAAGAAGAATCGCCAGATGCGCGCCGAATTGGAGCAGGCGAAGGTTCGCCTGGCCAAAAAGGATGCCCAGATCGAGAAGATGGAGAAGGATATGCAATCCCACGGGGAGAAGCAGCAGCACAGCCAAGATACGCCGAAGAAGGGCGGTTCCTCCGACGATCTCCAGGCCAAGATTAACAACATGCAGCAGAAGCTGTTCGAGACCCGCAACAGAAACACCGAGCTGCAGAATCAACTGAAGCTGGCGCAAAAGTGCCTGCAGCACGAGATCGGCGAGAGCTGCAACATCAACATACTGGCCAATAATCTCAACCAGGCCAACTGGCGCGGTCGTGCCCAGCAGATCATCACACTCACCCAAAAGGTGCAGGAACTCAAAGCTCGCTTGGAATCCTACGAGGACAGGGCTGTAGATCGTGCAGAGTACGCACCAGTTGCGCTGGGATCGAATCTGGATTTGGTGGGCGGACGATCCCATCACTCCAGCTCTGAGAGATTGGGTGGTGGCGATGGTGGTGCTGCAGCTGCCTCCTTCGATCGCTTCACTCCGGGAGTGCGTAAGAGTGAGATACTCCACCGGGCAAAGGTGGAGTCCTTGGAGAAGGAGATCGCCAATCTGCAAACCCAGTTGGAGGAGCAGCGCAGCAAGAATCTCGCTTTGAAGGTGAGGAACAAGAACCTGAACGAGGACATGAACAAGTACAAGATGCGTTTCAATGAGCTCGAGGAGCAGACCGATTACAATGGCGTCAATATAAACACCATGAATGATAAACTGAATCGCCAGCGGATTCAGTACGAAGGCCGACTGGATGACATGCGTGCTGAATTGATCCGGGTGACCGAGGAGAGGGATCTGTCGCGTCGGCAAATGGAGGAGCTGAGTGGCATGCACCTGGAAACGCAGTCGGTGGTCAAACAGAAGGACGTGGCCATTGCCAGTCTGCAGGATATGATCAAGAAGCTCGAGTTGGATCTGCGCGCCCTCTCCGGCGGATTCCTCTTCTCCTGTCGCGAGTTTCGAAAGGTAAAGATATTTTTATAGGTAAACCTTATTTATTTTTACACTGAAGAATGAAGGATGAAGGATGAGGATGAAGTACTAAAAAAATTATAAGGTTGACCTAAACAAATAATGATATTTTCTACGCTTTTGTCAAAGGTTGTTTTTTTTGAATTATAGGTATATTTTAATATTGTTTACCAATTAACAACCCTTTCAGGAAGAATTTGTGGGCATCCTGGATGCCCTCGAAGTAGAGAAAAATCAACTTATGCTGCTAACCAAAAGTCTGGGAGAACGTCTGGAGACGGAGCGCACCAAGAACGAGGCTGCCCATGATCAGATTGGGAAGTTGAAGACGCGGATCAGCCGCATGGAGGTGAAGATCAGGGATCTGGAGAAGGAGCTCGATGTGCAGTCCGACAAGAAGAAGCGCACCCAGCGAATGGCCGACTACGCCAGTTCGCTGAGTCGCACTTCTCTTAACGGATCGATCGGTTCCTTCAGCTTCGAGAACCAGTCGCAATACCAGTCGGTCACCACTCTCAATTCGACCGGACAGCCTGAGCTCAGAATAGAGGAACTTAAGAACAAGTAAGAAGCAGTGTAATATCATCGAAATTTCATAAAATACTTTTGTATATTATAGTCTGGAACTGGCTAAGGAGAAGATCACCATGTTGACGGAGAAGCTGGAATATATCACCGAGGAGAAGCGCGCAGATGCCAAGCTTTTCGAGGAGACACTGAACAACTCAAAGACCATTATCCTGGACACCATACTGGCTGCCCGCGAAGGAAGTACCAGTACCAGTGATAAACATCCTGATCAAACCACAAGCGAGAGCTCTATCCCATAATTGGATTGGGTAAACATGATTTGTATTTTGATTAATTTTTATGTTTCATCCTATGCGGCAAACATACCAATCAATACCCTATTTAAAGTAAATCGTTATTAAATTTGAATGGCATGAAAATTGCGTATTACTAATTAAAAAAGTTAATAAACAACCCACAGAATGAGATTTATATTTTCATAGATTTTTATTTTATTTGTAACACGTTCACAAAACGAAGCCTTTGGCGCTGCTTCTATTTCTGGATAAGATTAGATTAATTCATGAATTTGTTAGGTGATTTCTTTCGCTCGAAGCATTTCAAATTGCATTATGCCTATATATTTGTTATTAATTGCTTGTCTATAGCTATGCATGTGTGTGAGTGTGGTGTAGGTTAAGTTAATAATACATTATATAGCTTGACTCGCCATAGAAAAACATTGCTCCAATCACATATTAAATTATTTTAAGTTTGCCTTTTGTAAATTGTTTCTGTTAATCTGCGTTTGAAATTCGTTCTCCATTAATCGCTTATCGTATGAAGATGTATAAGTTACATTATAGGTTTATTCTATTGAATCTTTAATGCGTTATTATTGATAAGCCTAGTAAATTGGTTTTTATCTAAAAAACACTTTTTAGCAAATTAAAGGCACTTTCAAGGATTTCTTTTGTGAAACGAAACAATTTCTCCTTATTCCTTTCATCTTCAATTTAACACTAGAAACAAACAATATAATTATTATTCTCTTAACAAAAATATATATATTAAAAACATGAATGTCCCCCAAAAACAAGAACAAGGACAACCTCTTGTGTGTCCTTTTTTACACAGATAAATTGACAAAATTGTAGGGATAAACAGATTCAGATTCAGATCGATCTGGCTAATGCGGAAAAGCTTTCAGAAAGCCTAAGAAATTTTGGAGGGGGAATTTCCATTTTTAGGTTAGCTATTGCCCCGTGTAAGTATTTTTTTTTTGAGAACTTCTAATTAAATTAGAAAACCTTTGCCTTGGGATTCGGCTATCCATTATAACTTATGGATTATGCTCAAGCATTTTAGCTAAAAGAGTTCGTCTATATAGAAACTCGTATTTCTGTATATGATTGGTTAGCTTTAGCGTTCGATTAGCTTATTAATTTCTTGTATATACTTCAATAAATATCTGTATAAATTTGATTCGTTTAAGGGCTGTAGATAAATGCAAACTTGGCTGGGCTAGCTTGGTCGCTCTTAATTTCGTACTGGAATCGAAGCGGATATAAGATACTTTTCATATATCGGCCGATTCGTAGCTGAAACACATTCGACTCTCTCGTAACTCCGCTGTGTGGCTTTATTCAGTAAGAATGGATATCGGACTGTTGGTTCTCGGTTGGATTACTATTAATTTTACAATTAATTTCCCTTCTCTTTTTTACATAATCCGCTGCTTTGCTCTATATAGTATTTATATATATATATATGTACGTGTGTAGTGGATGTGTAGTATAAGTTAATGCACTATAGATTTAGATTTTGGGGTTTGGGGTGTGTGTTTGTTGTTTGTTGAGGGGTGAGTGAGTGACCCCCATCATCGCCGTCGCCGTCGCCTCCTAAATACGTGATTGAAGTAGTAGTAAATGTCCTGTTCTGCCTGCTGCTGTGGCGTCTTCTTGGCCATCTCCTGCTGCTGCTTGCTGTCCACTTGCGGATGGTAGTTGCTGTAGTGGTTGTAGCCATGCATGTCGTACGGATTGTGCTGACCCACCGGATGCATGCCCGCCGGCGGTGGAACGCCACCGTGAACGCCGTGCCGGCCATTCCGCATCATCAGATTCGCGTGCATGTTGCGATCCGCGATAAAGACATTGACGAAGAAGGCCAGCACGAGGAGGATGTAGAGCAGGCAGACGAGGATCACCACAAACTGCTGGCGACAGCAGCAGTAGTAGAACATTCCCTATTATATAACCGCCTGCTCCACATAGTTGGCTGGCAGCATGCCGGTCTTGCCGGTGCGCTCCACCCGTCCGGTCATCCAGCCGGAATCGATGGACTCCACCTCGAAGATGACGTCGCCCTCGCGGAAGCTCACCTCGTCGACGTCCTGCGCCTCGTAGTCGTAGATGGCCCGATAAACGCGCTGGTAAGGTAAAGAACATAAGATTAGATAGATGATCCATCAAATGATTAACAAATTGGGAAAAATTCCAAACACATAGCTTATGTATTTGTATTTCCCACAAGTTGCAACCTAAATTAAAGGACTCTCCACTCACCAATGTCTGTCGCGACTGTTTGTCCTGCAGGGAGGAGTAGGATGGCTGCTGGCGCATCTGCTGCTGCTGTTGCTGCTGCGGCGGATGCTCCTGCTGCTGCATCATCTGCACCTGCTGGTAGTACTGCTGATGCTTCTGCTGCTGGTGCGCCTGCTCGGCTCCACTCAGTGATCCGTAGATGCCATTGGCAGGATCAATATCCGAAACAGAGCCAATTCGCTTAGGGTAAACGCTGTTGCCTGTGTGGAATACATAAATCCATTAGTTTAAGTTTAATAGGGATTTATATATTTAAGGACAAGGACAAGATGACAGTGTAACATCGAGCTGAGGGCACTACATCGAACTACCAGCTAGCCTGCCTGGCCCACAACAACTTACCACCTTGAATGCCCCGCGGCTCGGAGCTGTAGACCAAGGTGGTGCTCGATCTGCCGGCATTGGGCACCACCCTTGGTCCATCCGTCAGCGGATCGTAGTCCGCTATCTTCCCAATATTGCTGCCGCCGGCCACAAGTTGCTGCTGCTGCTGCTGTTGATTTGGCACATGGCCATTGCTGGCGTGCTGCTTAACGTTAATTGCATTTTCCGATGGCGTCACGGCGGCATAATTGGGCGATGCGTACAGCTGCTGCAGGTGATTGGGTACCACTCCTGCTGGTCCTGCTGCTGCCACTTGTTGCTTGTTGTTGCCACTGCCATCGTAGGCCGCAACATTGGCCGCCGAACGGCGTATTTGGCTCTGGGATCCGTGGCCATTGTTGTTGATGTTGCTGTGGTTGCTGCTGTGCGAAATGCCACCGTTGCTGGCATTGTTGTTCAACAAACTGTGATGCGATTGCTGCTGTTGCTGCTGCTGCTGCGGAGCTGCAACCAGCGTGGGGTTGCTGTTATGCTGCTGCGGCTGGTCGTACTGATCCACGGAGTTTCCACTGGGATGATGGGAGTTCTGGAGGATGGCCGAACGCATCTCGTTGTAGCTGTTGAGCGCCTGCTGCTGCGGATTAACCGGCGACTGAGGTGGCGGCATCTGTTGCTGTTGCTGCTGCTGATGCTGCTGCTGTTGGGATGATGCTGTGGGATACAGATGTGAGGCTTGTTTAATGGCTTGCTGTTGCAGCAACTGCTGCTGTTGCTGCTGGCGGAGTGCCTGCGGTTGCTGGTAGTGTGCGTATGGATCGTGCATTTGCTGCTGTGCCCGCTGTTGCTGTTGTTGCAGCTGTTGCTGTTGTTGTTGCTGTTGCTGCTGGTGTTGCTGTTGTTGGAGTTGTTGGTATGTGGGCGTTATGGCCGCTGTATTGTATTGCTGATGTTGTATTGGTGGCGGTGGCAAAGTCTGTTGCTGCTGTTGCAGATAGTGTTGGTGTTGCTGCTGCAGTTGCTGCTGGTATTGCTGTTGCAGCTGTTGCTGTTGCTGATGTTGTTGCTGTTGTTGATGTTGCTGGTGTAGTGTTGTTGTCACTGCTGGCGGTATGGGTGAGGCTGTGGGTGCATATTGCGAGAATTGTTCAGCTGCCAATTGCTCAGAGAAATATTCCGATTCATCTTTTTCGATTTTTTCGATTTTTATCGATTTTTTTTTGGTTTCAAGTGACATTTAATTAGTTACAACATTGTCCACAGTTGTTGTTGTTGTTGTTAGTGTGGATGTGTATGTGTGGTGTGTATTTATTTATTGTGTGTGTCGTGTGTGTATCGTTAGGTTAACGGTAGTTCAGAAAGCACACAAATAATGTTGTTGATTTTGTTGTTGCAGTTGTTGTTGATGATGTGGGGAATATATGCCAACAAATGATAAACAAAGTCCGCAACAAAATAAAAGTAAAGAAAACAAACCATAAAAAAACGGAATTAAATTCAATATTAATTACGGCATGTGACAGATGTGACGGGAATGATGGAAATAGATACTATAATATAAATAATTGGTGCAGAAATGCAAACGCATACGTTTCATCTTCATATTTACAAAGAAATAAATACAGTGGTTAAACACATTTTTTGTGATTGAAAATTAATGAAGTGTAAGGAAAGTAGTTATCATACTAACGTAGACTACAAATTTAAACAGAAGAATTAAAGGAAATATATTTTAGTACTGGTTTCCATGGTGCAAAAAAACAGATTTTAAATGTATATAAAATTAAACTTAGTTTATACAAATTTCTTTTATTTTTAACAAAAAAGAAACAAATTGAATAAACACTAAGTCCACTAAGTTCGCTTTGTAGTTTTTTGTAACCATTTAAATGCATGCATGAATGACTGACGTCAATAGACTATTATGAACACATTAAGTCAATTGAAATTCGAATAAATTAATTCAAACAGTAAACGCGGCCCACCACCAACTAACCATTATTAAGCGAACGAGCGGACACAAACAATAAAGCTTCGATACCAGTGAGTGTGAGAAGGGAAAGATATAGTAACACAGAGGGGGCTTTCACAGAGATGGAAGTATAGTAGAGATAGAGAGGTCAGAGGTCGGATGCAAGGCGACTACTCACTGCTGCTGTCGGAAACCTCGGCGGATCCTCGCTGCTTCTCCATGGCCGCCTTCTTCTCCAGATCGCCGTGATATGCCACATTCGATATGTGCTTCGTGTTCTGTTTGATCCGCAGCGTTTCCGGGTCATCGGCCACCTGTCGGATACATAACCAATTAGTAAACCCATAATTTAGTTGGGGGAGTGAGCGCACTTCAGCACAGGGAGAAAAACTTTGCACCAAACCTTACGTATATAAAAATACAGTTTTCAATAAAAATCGTTCTCAGATTGAAAACATTTAATTATTATTTTTAAACGGAAGAAAAGATAAACTTATAATTGCAAACTTTTGTGAAAGTAATAAACGAGTTGCTTAGCCTTTCAACCCTTTATATACTGTACTATAATTCCCAACTGGTTTAGGCAAACATAATTAAGAATCTAAAAATTTGTATTTTAAAAGGTATTATTAATTTACTGAGTATACTAGACATTGATTAAGGGAATCAAATAAATGGAAAATTCTTTTCTCTCTGTGCTTCTCAACTCTCAACTTTTCACTGACCTGTGTAAATTTGCCTTTGGCCTTCTCGAAGTCCGCGTGATATTTAACGTTCGACTGGATTTTCGTGTTCTCTGCGATGCGCTTCAGTTCGGGCGTATCGGCAATTGCCGTTGCCTTGGCCTTCGGTATGTGTCTGCAAGATAGGAGAAATAGAGAAAACGAAACGGGGTTAGAGATCAGAGTTTCCAGAGGAGTTAACGCTAGTCAAACCGCAGTTGCAGTCGCTCATTCTGTGGCTCATTCTGTGGCATGCCGCAGATAGAGTCCATCATCATACTCGCAGCAGCAGCAGCAGCACACTTGCCGGTGGCAATCGGAGGAGCAGCTCTCGCTGAAAATTCTCCACGCCAGCTGGCCGGCAACTTGGATTCATGGATTCATGGAAATTCCGCTCGAGTGGGTGGATTGAGCAGCCAGAGATGCTGATTCTGCTCGAGGGAATATATGTACAGATGTACCGAGTTTATGTAAGGCAAGAGCATATCCATCTCTGATTTCATGTTGGCTTCGTGTGAAAACCTCTGACCCCTTCTGACTGCCTTCTTCTGCCTTTCAACACCGTGTGCTTTTATCAATTAAAACACAGCCCCCAAAATGCCAGAAACTACGTGTATTTTTTGTGGTTTGATTTGGGTTTTCTTCTTCTTCAGTTACCCGCTGGCGAATAACGGGAAATGCACTGCCAGAGATTTGTCTGTGGCTGAATGCAATTTATCAAAGGCCTCTGTGAAAAGTTCACTAGTTCATTTTAAACTTTCCGTTAGTTTTGAGGCAGCAGAGCTCATGTTTTTGGACAGAAACTCTCAATTAAAATGGTAAACATGGGGAAATTATATCAAAACATGGGGGGAAAACAAATCAACTTTGGCACTGCATTTGTATATAAATAACAAATAAAAAATGCAGATCAAATGAGTAAATATTGTGAGTGTAACTTTTCTTTTTAACAAGTTTTTAATGGCATTGGCTCGAATAAATTATTAAAACCGAGCATGAAATCATGGTATGAAAGAAAAACACAATACCAGCGATATTTTCTGAACTATTTTCGCAACGCTTCCCCACAGACTAATACATCAATTTAATTATTGGCAGGAGCAGGGAATAATGAACATGGCGCATCTGTTGAACAAAAGTAGTCATAATAAACAAACACTGGCAGGCAGGCGAGTTCCATAAATTCATGACTCATTTTGTTTGCGGCCATGTGCAGAGTGCTTTAACCTATCAGCGGGCTAATCGATCGATCGATCGATTGGACAACACAACTGATAACCAAACCCGATGACTCGTGAGGTTGATAAACTCGCAAAAGGGGGAAGAAGAAACCTTTTGCCCATATTTAGACCACCATATAACCATATTGTGTAAACGTAATTGCATGCAAGTCGCAAGTCTATTGGCATTATAGAATATTTATGGGCTTTTTAGCGATGTTCTAATCGCCCACAGCTGGCGCCGTCCGGGGGGATATTGTTTTCACCTCGTTCCCCCGAGTGGAAATAAGTTGCAATCAGTGTGGAATGCGAAAACCAGCGAGAAACAATGCAAACTGTCACACACGCACAGAGGTGACCACCATTTAGATGGATGGTATGGCATAGTATGGCCTGGCATGGCATGGAATAGTATATATGTATATATGTTATATATGGTGGTTAGTTGATAGTGGCACAAGGCCGTTTAATGACCAAAGCGTGTGAGCAGCAGCAAAGCCAGAATCATTGAGAGAGCACCGATGCATGTAGGTCCGTTCCGAACAACAAGACTAAGTCTATGCCAAGTGATTTCAATGGTGAAGAACTGTATATACTCTTATAATATTTCAAGAACCCTCAGAACGGTATTAATTTTGCTATCTGATAGACATTTTTAATCTTAACCACTCAACAACAATTAGGAACACAACTCATACTTCAATAATCTATCAAATATTTTAAGCTTATAAACACACGATAAGCAAAAGTCAAGATTACAAAACTTCGTTTAAACTTGTCTTGTTTTTAATAAAATATTCAAAATGCTTTATAATCAACCAAGTACATTCTAAGATATAACATTACTTTCAAAAGGCTTCAGAGGTTTTTTTTTTTTCATCTTTAAAAATGTTATTAATTCAGCAGAACACAATTCATACAGTTAAATTATTTATGATATTTTTTTAAGTTGACACACCTAAATACCTTAGTTAAATTGTACTTCCCACCCAAAAAGAGTATCCCCAAGAGCAACAACAACAACAAGAATAGGGGGCAGCTATAATGCATTGTTGTTGCTGGTTGTAAGCTTTGCTTTACTTTGCTTTGCTTTATCGTTCAATATGCGTTGCATGTGTGGATGTGGCACAGAGATAGAACCCCAAGGAGGAGGAGGAGGAGGGGGTGAGGAAAGCAGGGAAGAGGGAGGGGGAGGGGGAGGGGGAAATAAGTACAAAGCCCGAACCGCAGAAAGCATCGTCCGCATTGCCGTTGCGTTCGGTCGGTCGGTCAAATTGCTGTTGTAGCTGGCACACATTGCCATTGCTGCTGTTGCTACCGATGTGTTGCTGTTGCTGTTGCAGTTGCTTCTGCTGCTGCTGCTGCTGCCACTGCTGATGTTGCTACTGTTGCCGGTTGATGGTAGCTGGTAATGATGACATAACAATGCTTAAGCGCCCCGAGGCGACATTGGCGAGCGGCTACCACCAACGGATGTCTCAGCACGTTCCCAATAGATCAGCAGCAACAACGTCAGCAACAGCAACAGTAACAACAGCAACACCAACAGCAACATGCACGTCAGCAACAGTGGAAGCAACGCCAGCAACAACAGTGCATGTGTGTGTATGATGCAATTGTTGTTCCTTCTCTTTGCTTTACTTTTTTATTATCAAAGAATTTTAATTTATTTGTAAACAATACACAACAACAATGGCAACAACAGAAGGGTACAGGAACCATCAACAACAACACTTTTGTTGGCCATAATTTCTTTTCATTTTCTTCTCAACTGACCAAATAGAGCTAAAAGTTCCTTCAAAAGAATGCGAATATAGGTTATTCTACAAATTTTAATTCATGAATTTTTACATTATTTATTATTGTAATTTTAACGAAAAGAAACATTTAATAAATGTCAACATTGTTTAAAGGTAAATCCAAATTTTAAAACAAATGTACACTTTTTATAATTACTTAAATATTTTTGTAAAGAATTGAAAACCAAAAGCACTAATATGAAATATGTAAATTCAATACACCTAGCGATTTGGAACTGAATTATTATAATAACTTTTTATATAATTTGTTATAATTAATTTCAAGAAGCAATCACCCAGTTTTACTGCAGCATTATATTCGCACTTAATAGAGTATTTAAATGTCATAAAAGGAATGCAGTTTCGCAACGCTGCTAATGATTTCCCACACAAATTGCTTTTGATGGAAGGAAGGATATCTGGATCTGGATTCCTGGCCATCAAACTGGACTGCATCGTGTGGTGGCTCCGTCGTCGTAATCTGCCATCGAACAAACGAGCGTCCAATGAAAGCGTAATCCACCCAAAACCAGACCGACACATAAAAGAGAAAAACGGTTTGGACATTCATTGGATGTCAACATATTTTTCTGGTTTTCCACTCTTGTTTTTTCATACTCCTATTTCTTTGTTTTTTAATTTTTCTCCATGTGGAACAAGCAGTGACGCCGATTGGTGTTGAGTTACCATGACAGTCTTTTGTTGCTCGACGATTTCGATGTTGTTTTTGTTTTTGTTGTTATTGTTTTTGTTGTTGTTGTGCAATGGATCAATGTAAAGTAAAACAGGGAGTGGCACCAACGACTTTATAGTGACTATGACTGATAAGATGGGATTGCCACAAGACTGGGTTAATAATGCGTTTTCCACTAAAAATAGAAATGACATTCTTTAATCAAACAACTACTTTACTACTATCTTTAAATTAAAAGCGCCTTGATTTTCTAAGCTTAATTATTCATTCATTAAGATGATGATTTTAAGAAGTACAATTTAAAAAATTAAAACCAAAATTCTCAACAATTATATAATTGAGTTTCTGTTTCATCCGGATGAGATTTCCTATAATTAAGTACAAAAGCTAAGACTTTTTGAATGCTTCAAATAATTTTCCCATTATGAAATAATTTCATTAATTCGGTGGCTGGAATTGCATAACTAAAAGAGAAATGATTTCACACATAATTTGCAAAAGCGTTGAAATTGAAATTAAATGCATGTCCGTCGAACACGATTATCTACTCTCCACTCCACTCCATCCTTCCCGCACTCTGGCCTTACGTATTATCATTTCGTATTTCCCCCGAAAAGTTTTTGGCATTGGCCCATCAACGTCATCATCATCGGTATTCATAATCCGTTGCAGTCAATCAAAGCGAGCATAAAAGTTCGAAAATCCACATCCACAGACAGCGAAAGGGAATGTCTGTAATTCTGTGTGTTTGTAAAGTAAAACTCAATCCCCATCGCGTGTTTAAAGCTTTTAAAAAATTCATATGCAAACGGTGATGGAAAGGAAAGGTGTTCCGGGGTAAACGTAATTGTTGACACCACCAAACCACCGCACCACCAAACCACTCCCAGTTCATTTCGGAAGCTAAGCAAACGACCCACAAATTTTGTATTTAGCATAAAATAGTGGAAAAATGACGACAATGCCCCATCTTTCTCTGCTGACCCAACTATTTTTTTTGGGTAATTGAAAAGGTTTTTTGTGGCTATTGTCACTTTTGTTTTCTATTTTGTGGGCGGCTTAAGTAATCAGACGAAGATATATGCACATTTATACGTACATACTCGTATATATCCCAAATAACCCCCTGTATTGTTCGGGTATTTAAGCCGCGTTTCAAAACGAAAGTAAAAAATAAATAAAAAAAAAAAGAAATGTGATGCAAAATGAAATGAGAGAAGACAAGAAGAATGTGGCACACGGGGCGGGGTTTTTTGGGTTGCTGGGTAGCATCATCATGATCATGGTTCACTGGGTTTTTATGTTAATAAATAAATGCCAATGATATATACAAATGTATCAGAGGCTTCTGTTCAGCAGATGTTTCGCAAGCCCCTCTATTTTTATTTTTTGTCCAAGTAAGGGAAAACGAAATGAAAAACTAAATAAATGCGAAAAAAAAACGTGGATACAAAAAGGAGCAAGACATTGTAAACATCTCGTTTTCTAGTTCAATTCCAACTAAATGGGGCCTGGTAATGCAATGTATACAAAATTGTATGAATAGAAGTTCCTCCTCACATGCGAGTATCTATATATTTGTTCGTATGTGAGTGCACTCCTGGCATATCCTGGCCTAAAGTCGGCTCCTTTTTCCTGTCCTGTCCTTCGGCTTTCGGCCGCAGGTAGACAACGGCCAGGAAAGAGCTCCACTTCAAGATGCAATTAGGCTAGGAGAAAGTTTCGCTTGGCGGGGAGAGAAATTCATCCGCAAGTTTGCAGTTGTGGCAAAAGTCGAACATATCCCTTCTTGAATAGACAGGAGGCCAAAGGGCAGCTTAAAATGTACTTTAAATGTAGCCACATGGCATACATTAATATGCTTTTAAGTTTAAACAGTATTCCTTATAATCCTTTGATGGTAAGAAAATTAATACAGAAAAGGAAATATTATTGGTAAACTAAGATTGAACTTCCTATTTGAGTAATACATACAAGCTTGATTTAATAAAAGAAACTTGGTTATATACTTAAAAGTTTGACAGATGCTTTCCAAGCTACTAAGTCAAAATTAAACGTTTCCGTTCCATCATCAAGAATTGCTTCTATTTAGAACATTTCCTTCCTTTGGGCCATAACTTCTATGGTTCTCAAATCCAATTAACAATCAGTTGTCTGGCACTTCAGCCTCATATGTGGCCCAACTTTAATTGCACGTTTCCCTCATTTATCCTGCGAATGAACTTCATAATTTATTGCAATCGTGTTATCCCCACTGGGCGACTGACCTCTCCAAGCCTCTCAAGAAAGCGGCACTATGAAAACATGAAAACTTCGTTTTGACCCGTAACTGGTTGGGAAAACTATCTTTTGTCTGCAGACGGAACTTAGCAGAAGGCCCCGAAGACCGAAGAACAACCAGCCAGGCGGCAGTCGAAACTTCTCAAGCAATTATAAAATGCAAACCAAAAAGTGGAAGTTGAAGTCGCCGCAGTTGTAAAATGTAAGGAAACCAAAGTTGGCGGATTTTTTTTTCATTGCATATACATAGATACCCTTCCTTATTTAATTTTGAAGGTATGATAGAATTTGTGAGAAATTGAATACAGCGAATAATATTTTAAAATATGTTCAATATTTTCAAGATCCGATTATTTCGATTAATTCGATCGGTTTAAAAATACATTTAATTATTTAATAATTATTAATATTTATCCTTTTTTTTAACATACTCAAAGATTTAATTGTTGAAAGATAGATTCAATGGACTTTATGATAGATCTCATCAGTTGTAATATTTATTCCATTTGTTAGTACAATTGATTCGATTTAATTTTCGTGTTTTGAATAAACTACATATATTTAGTGATAATTGTACAATTCCAATTTCTGGATAAATATCGGAAATGGAATATAAAAGTCTTATTCAACTTAATGAGGGTTTCGATATCGATCAGGGATGGCATTCTGTAGATAAATCTAGTAAAGGGAATTCATTGTGCCCCATTCAACACGGCTGTTAGGTTACCCCGCATAAAAATCTAGTTCGAAGACGGGCGAAAAGAAGCTCCGGGATTCCCGTACGTGGCGTCACGTAATCCGGGGAGCAGCATTTTCCGGATAGGTGCAAACGGTTCGAGGAAATGCAGTGAAAGTGCCGTCAGCGGAAAAGCAGGGCGTAACCAACCGCGCTCTACACTTCACCGTTTTAAGCCACATTCTGCCGGTCGAGGAGGAGAATCCCGTTTAACAATTTATGCAGGCGATGACATCAGTGGAAATTCGCACAAAGCGGACGGACATGTGGAAAACCAGACAGTTTTCGCCTGGAAAAACGTGAAAGGGGGCACTGCGCAATGGAGCTAACGGACGCATAACTCAATCCGCATGGAATTTTTATTCCCGCAGCGGTGGCATCCACAATAAATCTGCATTAGACCAGGCGTTCTGTCGGTCGCTCAGTCGCTTTTGCAGGACAAAATGTTGTAGAGAACCCGAAAATGGGAACGTGGAGATCCCCCTCCCCCTCCGAAACTCCCAATTCACTGCGCCCCTGGCTTTTGGCTCAAGGCCAGCAAATGCAGCCACGCACTGCAGCAAAAAAAAAAAAGGGGTGGGAATATATTGGGCCAAAAGGAGTGAAGTGGAGTTACTGTTGGCCACAATACAAAGCAAAACACTTGCTCTCTTGTCCGCTTACCCAGTGTGTCTCCAATGTGTGTGACATTGTCTACAACAATGAACATGACAGCCAAAAGCGAAGCCAGGGGTGTAGTTTGTTTTTGCTTTGAGGGGGAGAGAGAAAGGGGTTCTTCTGGGAACCCCCAATCGGGGAAGTGGGAACTCCCCTCATGTGACACAGATTCCCCACACGATTCGCGAGTTGAACAGCTCAGCAGGAAACAGGAAAACTTCTGTGTGTGCGAAAACACTCTGAGGCGAAGTTGATCACCTGCTCTCCAAAAGGAAAACTAGTTCGCAGTGTTCAGTGTCTTATGAATTTTTAGCATTTAAAACATAAAGAACCTCTAACATTTTAGTATAATTAAATTTGATTGATAGAAAATTACTGATGATTTTTTTAATGTTTAGTTTGAACTGTGCAAACACAATTCTTGTTCAAGAGAATGATGAACAATTATCATAGTTTTAATTATAATATTTTCCATAATTTGTTATGGCGTTCGCCTTTCCCTTGGGCGTTGATTATTTTTTGGGTAGGAGTGCACACCCAAGTAACTTGGGCCAAGTTACACGAGGAAAATTATTCCAATCCCTTTTTAAAATTTTCCCCACAATATTTAAGCAATAAATTGAGCTAAATACAAATTAAATACCTTTAAAGTTTGAAACAAACTCGTTTTATGATTTTGGGATATTCAAAATGGAGTGCATCAAAACCAAAACAATTTTTTTTTATTTTTTGTTCAAAAAATGTTATACAATTTTAATATAAGTACTTTTTCTGTTCTTTTTTAAAACAACACATAAAAATACCTTGAAAATATATTTATATGCTAGAGTGGCTGGCAAAATAACGTTGAATAATATAAAATTCAATCACAGCTCAGCCAGAGGGCGAACAACTGGCGAAGCTAAAAACATTCCACTGCAGTCGAGTCGTTAAATCTAAGCCCCATTAGGAGCAGCTGCTGTTATCAAACGAACAATTAACTAGTTCACCGGGTGAACTGGAGGGGGTAACACTGTACGGTCTGCCCGCCTGTCTGCCCCACAACTGCATTTCCGCATTCTGCATTCAGCATTCTGTATTCTGCACTCTGAATTCCTTATCCCGCCCAGACTTTTCCCTAACCAGCTGCTGCACTTTTTGCTCACCCACATTTGAGAGTTCTTATTTAGTGTTTCGTTTTTTTTTTCTTTTTCGATTTTTGTGCAAAGTTCTAGTGAATTTAAAACGCTATCTTCGTGGCTGGGGTGGTGTGGCACATCCACTATCTCCCTGGAGCGATTAGATAAACGACGCTAATGAAGATTGCCAGGTGAGTGGGGCGCAAATCAAGGTTGACCATCCTCCATCGCATTCCGATTTCAAGTGGGTGCCACACGAAGATAAGCCCCCACCGAAAACGTTATTGCCCCCACTGTGTTCCACAATTGTTCGCAGTTCTTGTTGTTATTGTTGTTGTTGGGAGGGGTATATCTAAAGGTTGGGGGGGTTGGGTTGGCAAAAACTTGGTTAAACTTACGCCTCGCAGTAGGGCATTTTGTTGTAGCCCTTGTAGGTTTTCATATTGAGCGTCATGCCGCATTCTGTGCATTTGAAACACGTTTTGTGCCATGTCTGAAACGAAAGAAGAAAGGAGAAAACGTTGCATTACAAACGCCGGAGAATCACAGAGAAATTGTCGAGAATGCAATATTATTATTGCTATTTGCTATTTTCTGTTTTGTTTTTAGTTTTGTTGCTGCTGCTGCTGCTGCTTTTGCTCTGTGTTGCTTGTTAGCCAAATTGGCGCAGTGCAACTGAAAACTCTGGGCCAAGCCAAGCATAAGAAGCGCTCTCGAAGGTTTCTTCATGCCGTTCCGTTAACTAGAAATTTATGCGTATATATTTTCTCCAAAATTAATTGGAAGACTAACGGACTAAAATGAGAATTCAGGTGGTGAAGCCAAAAGCATTTCTATAAATAGTACATTAATTTTGCTAACAGACTGATGTACCTTATGTTAGATGTTAATTAACAGACTGATGTATCTTATGTTAATGTTAATTAACAGACAGATGTATTTTATGTTAGATGTTAATTAACAGACAAATGTATCTAATAATTTGTATAAGTAAGAAATTATTTTCTACGATGTTAAAGTAAAGTTTGGGTAAAGTTTTGAGATTTAAGCTAACAAAAAAATGCAATTTAATACAATTAAAAGACGACCCTAAAGCGTTTAATTTTCTTTTGTTTCATATTTTTACTGACCAAAAGTGTGAAAAGTATAAAACTTTACGACTGGTAAATCTCCTTCCTTAAACTTTCCGCATATCTCAAGGTCTAAACTATTCTCGAAGTAGATATCTTAGTTAGTACCGTTCAGTTGAGATAACTGGTTAGATAAGCCATGGCCATGGCAGACAGATGAGAGCCAGACAAACAGACTTTGAAAATGTTGCGTGATTTGTGGTGAGTTGGCATATGAAGTGGGTAAGAACTTGCATTTCACAGATACTCAGATACAAAACTGCACAGCGAACGGAGAAAAGAAGTTGTAATGGAACTTGGTTTGATGGCTTGACTTCGTCTGTGGTGTCGGCATTTCTTCTTCTTTTTTTGCCGTTTGTGTTTGCCTGCAACGCGTTATGCAAATTTTCCAAAAGAGGGAAAAATCTCGAAACCGCAATGGAGGATCCCCTCCAACACGTCCCCTTCTTTACTCCACACCATCCTTGACGTGGAGGTCAACAAACGATTAACTTGTCTGCGGATTAGCAGACGAAAGAGGGAAAGAGAGGGGCATACATTCGGCGAAAGAGACGCCAGATGGGAGTACAAAAATATCTCCTAATTGGTTTTCAACGCTGTCTGCCGCTGGAAGCTGGCAAAAAAAAAACAATAACATAAAACACAAAAAACAAACCCGTTTAAACAACAATTAAAAGTGTAGAAACAAAAAAAAATACGATAGTTAATTGTTTGATAGACGCAAACACAAAAAAAAAAAAAAAAACAGAAAAAAATAAATGAAATAAAAACGAAAGAGTCAGTTTACCACATTCCATGGCCCGAAGAGAAAAGCTGAAAGCGAAACAATCTTTGACCCCCCTGAACTCAAAACCGGAATAAATCATCGGATTTTTCTTTTATGACCTGCCTTCGGATCGGAGCTTAAGCAAATGACTTTCCAGCTCAGAGCGCATGCGTAACAGGGCCAGATATTTTAAATATATGGCTAATTGAACTACCGTTGCAGTTCGACAAGAAGTTGATTGAAGTGGAGGCTTTCGATAATATTAGAAGTTATGGTATTCAGGTCGTAAAAAGTGGGTTAAAGACATATGATCGACTAAACAAGAATTCAGCAAAAAAAAGTTTGCTTTTTTCTTTTTTCTTAAGTTTGTGGTCAAAATCTTCACTTGTGTTTTAAAACAGCTTGACCGCATGGAAATTGCAACATCAGTTTCACTTTCGCAACGAAATGCTGTCAAGTTTCTTGGCTTTTTATTTATTTTGTAAGAGTTTGTAGGAGTGCCTCTATGTGAATCTCGATGTGCAACAATTGCCCACACATATATGTATATGTATGTGTAGACATATTTAAATGCAAGTTGTGAGGTAATCGTCTGGTGGACAACGGAGTATGTACGTCTCCCCCATCAAGTAAATGCATTCAATTTCCATTTTCTATGCTCGCTTTAACCCACTTTTTCACTTTTGCTCGCTTCTCGTCTTGATTTTCAATTTGCGTCTCAATTTTCAAAAGTTAAACGTTTCCTCTTGGCTTGTTTTGCATTGTTTTTGGTTTTGGTTTTGGTTTTATTGCTGGGTTGTTTTCTGTCAACCACGACGAGGTGTTAAATTTGCATTCGAATTTGCACGCTTTCAACGTTTTTCGACCCAAGTGGCGATAAAAGCAATTGGCATGAGCCACGAAATGGTAAGAAAATCTCGTATTACCACGGCAAACCAAAACCAACGAGTGACAAATGAGGGCAATGAGCAGCAACAACAACAGAAACCACAATAACAAACAAAATCGGTTAAAAAAAATCTATTTATAAGTGTAACAAAGAAAAAAAAAACCAGACTTGAAGTGTCAAAGTGATTTCTTCAGATTTGCATGAGGGAACTGAAACTGGAGCACTTGGAAATGAGAACAGATATGTTAATTAAAGTGGAGAAAAATTTCACCAAATTCGATTTTGCTTTAAAAAGTAATTTGTTCACATATGTACAAAAGAAAATTATCTATAAATTATTTTATTTGGGAGTTCAACACCTCAATTTAAACGCCTTAAATCTTTTTATGTGTCACTTGAATTCCTATTGAAGTGTTCACATTGTTCACAAGAAGAATAATTTTCCAAGCAATTGTTCGTTTTCTTTAGCCAACGGATAAAGCCATTTAAACACCGAAATAAATTTTACTCTTTTAAAATAAATTTTTTAATTGTTTATTTCTAATAATTAAATACAAAATAATATTTTTAATTTAGCATACCACAAAAATAGATTATTCTGCATTCGCACTCTAACAATGTTGTTTTAACTCTATTGCTTTAGCCCATTTTAGCATTTTCCGCACCAACAGGCTTTGTGCCAAAGTTATGAGAACTCCAATCTGGAGAGTATTTCAACAGCGAATTGTGAAAAGTTTGGGGACAATAAACACTTCAAATGCCAAACGGCAAACGGCAAAAGGCAAACACTCTCCAGACACGAGAGCAAACTGAAATCCAGATTCGCATTGTTGTTCTTTGGCAGCTTTTTATTGTTGTTATATTTTTCTGAATTTTGGTTTTTGTTCGGCTGGTCAGCCAGCAGCAACAACAACAGTTAGGGAAGAAATTCTATGGTCATTCAGTCAGTGGGAGATGCTTCTGGTCGGTCTATTGTCCGATGAAAATGCCTGCCTCTCAGCTTTCTTCGAGCACAAATTAAAGAAGAGATGCAGCGCTTAAAAAGCTGTTATTTATGCTCGAGAGAGAAGCAGGTACCGTTATGAGCTATCAACGGAATGAAGTCGAAGAAGTAGAACTTCCACTTCTCAACTTAGCATAAGATATTAATCATGATTTAAGGCCATCTTCCCCTCTCCCCCCTTCTCCTTCGCCAACTCTGCGTAGCTATAACATCCATATCCCCACTCCAAGAGGAGTTTAATCAAAACAACAACTAGAGAAACCATCAAAGTGGTGGAAAGAAGAAGAACGGGCAATAGTCGCAAAAGAAGCGGAAAAAACAAGCTTCGCCGTTCTCGTTCACAACTTTTAAAGATTGCATAATAAAATATTTATAAAACAAATGTTAATAAATCAAGTGATAAGCACTCATAAAAAGGAACAAGAAAATTAAACTCGCGAAGATGACAAAACTTAAGATTTGTTGTTCTTTAATTCACAATCATGAAATATATTTTTGAAAAACTTTCACATTTTTTAATTAAAATATAACAATATAATATAATAAAAACCGAGCGAGATTAAAAGCAATTACCGGCATCTTAAAACAATATCTGTCTTGAATGTGAAAATAATTTATTGTTTGAAAAATTCCTAAATTAATTTGATTGCGAAACAAACAACAAGCATTTTTTAACATTCCACGTTTTCTGATCACTTTAAAAGAGATTCGGTTCATTATGGACCACTGTGGCTAAAGTGGAGAGCGGTGGAATAGAGTTGTCTCCACCAGAAGACAACACCATATCTGAACTCGGCGTTCCCTCTTCTCCAACTCCCCCTCCCCATCCCTTCACTTTGCGCACTCGACATTGCTGGAGAATGAGTCATCCGCACTCGAAGAGCTCTCCGCAGCATTAGGTTGCGGATCGCCCAGATTCTCGCCGGCAAAACATCGTGAACAAAAAATTAAGAGGGGAAAAAAAAGAAAGAAATATGCGAAATAAAAGCGAAACGAACGCAGTTGGTGGCCCCGATCTCTCCCTCCATTCCCGGCAATAAATGAAATTAATAAACAAATAATTTGGTTATATCTGTGCTCTCAGATTCGAGTCAGCGTACGTGCGAATATGTGGAAAAAATAATAACCATAAAAAGCGATTCTAATCAATTGTTGCTTGTTGGTCTTATGAAAAACAGATCGAGTACACCGAAAAATATAATCGAAATTACGATATGCATAAAAAAATATGCTTTGCCTAAAAAGGAAAAACACATTTAAAATACAATGTTTTTTTTAGAGTATAAAGATTTTTTATTACATTTTTCGAAAAATTACATGTTAGATATATTAAGAAAGTACAAAATTACAGCAAAAAAAAAATGAAGATTAATATTGTAATCCCAGATTATTATCAAAGTTACGGAATAACTTTAATACATTTTTGCAATCTTTAAGATAGTTTCGCTCAAGTGCAAGTAAATACGTTTCCCCACAACGAACGGAGTGACATGAAGGCTGAAAGAATGTTGAATGGAATGAGGTTGAGGCAAACACGATCCACATGTTCTCATAATGATTTACTTTGGGAGCTTAACCATCTTATCTCACACAACTTTCTCAACGAATATGACTCCAGAGCTTAGGAATGTAATCGCGCAACTAAACAAACTTCATCAATCCACAAATACAATCTATAAGATTGCGCACTCGGGTATTAAGTTAA